TCCAGGAAGTTTACAGCATTCGTGACACATAACGGGCAGTACGAATTCACGCATGTACCATTTGGTATCTCAAACTCTCCAGCTGTCTTCTGTAGGTATCTTACCGCTACGTTGAGGGATCTCATTCAAAATCAAACGATCGTAGTTTATATGGACGATATTATCGTTCCAAGTAAGGACGAAAACGAGGGACTGCAGGCGCTGGAAAAAGTTTTAAAAGTAGCTTCGAAGGCAGGCCTACGCATCAAATGGGAAAAAGCACAATTTTTGATGAGCAAAATCAATTTTTTAGGCTACACCATCGAGAACGGAACCATAGCACCAACGAACGAGAAAATTAAAGCAGTCGTTAACTTTCCTATTCCTCAAAGCAGGCAAGCTTTGCAGCGTTACTTGGGTCTGACGTCTTACATGCGACGATTTATTAAAGATTACGCCTTAGCAGCAAAACCATTGAGCGACTTGCTGCGAGAGAAAAATAATAGAAAGGACGACAGAAATTTAACGTTGACTGAGGAAGGCGTAGTTTCCTTCAACTGTCTGAAGCAACTGCTAGTATCAGCACCAGTACTCAAACTTTTCGATCCGTTGGCTGAAACTGAAGTGCATACAGATGCAAGCAAGTATGGCTTTGGTGGCGTTTTAATGCAGATGGACTCCGAGGATCAACAGTTTCACCCTGTAGAGTTTATGAGTCGGAAGACAAACACTTGTGAAGAGAAATATAGTTCTTACGAACTTGAGGTTCTAGCGATCGTAAACGCGCTGAAAAAGTGGAGAGTTTACCTGCTTGGAAAGCGATTTACAGTGGTAACCGACTGCAACGCATTTGCAATGACGATGAAAAAGGACGACCTACCACCGCGAGTTGCAAGATGGGCCATGGCTCTGCAAGAGTTTGAGTTTAAGGTGGAGCACAGAGCTGGAACCAAGATGAGGCACGTGGATGCACTGAGCCGATTGTCATGCTTTATGATCGCAGATTCCACAAAGTCAAGATTATTAGAGGCACAAAACAATGACAACTGGATCAAGGCTGTTAAATCCGTATTGACCAGCAATGACGTATATGAAGACTTCTTTCTGAAGAATAATATCCTTTATAAAGACGAAGTTAACGAACTACTGGTTGTTCCTGACTCAATGGAAGAGGAAATCATAAGCATTGCACACAGGGAGGGCCATTTCGGTATCAAAAAGACTCGTGACATTTTAGAAAAAAGTTATTTCATCCCAGGAATCCAGCAAAAAGTCGAAAGAGTAGTCAAAGGATGCGTTGAATGTCTGATCATTGAGTCCAAGCGAGGAAAGAAGGAGGGTTTACTCAGTCCCATTGATAAGGCTCAAGAACCCCTTGGAACCTATCATATCGACCACGTTGGACCTCTGACAGATACGAAGAAGAAATATAACCACATTCTGGCGGTCGTTGATGGATTTTCAAAATTTGTTTGGCTTTATCCTACAAAATCGACGGGATCAGAGGAAGTCCTAGAAAAGCTCGAGAAGCAAGCAGCAGTCTTTGGAAACCCTCGCCGAATAGTTACTGACAGGGGAACTGCATTCACTTCTGGACTGTTCAAGGAGTACTGCAGCCGCGAAGGAATTCAACTACTTCACATCACCACAGGCATGCCTAGGGGCAACGGTCAGGTGGAAAGAATCCACAAAATTGTGATCCCGATGTTGAGCAAGATTTGCCAAGAAAACCCAGCAAATTGGTATCGGCACGTAGACAGAGTTCAACAAATAATAAACAGCACTCCACCTCGAACTACCAAGTATAGTCCGTTTAAAATTTTGACTGGATTAAATATGCGAAAGAAAGACGATGATTTAAGAAAACTTTTTGAAGACTTAGGTATAGAAGAGATAAGTAAGGAGCGAGAAGAAATACGTGAAAAAGCTCAGGAAAATATTGAGAAAGTGCAGCAAGAGAACCGAAAGAACTTTAATGAGAAAAGAAAAGTTGAAATTGATTATACTGTAGGAGAATTAGTAGCAATTAAAAAGGACACAGTATGGAACTGGAATGAAACTTCGTCCTAACTTTTTCGGACCGTATAAAATAGTCAAAAAACTGAATCATGGGCGCTATGAAGTTCAGAAAGAAGGCAACCAGGAGGGACCGAAACTAACTACAACAGCTGCAGAATATATGAAAAAATGGGGTTCATTCAGGGGCGAATGAAGATTCAGGATGGCCGATTGTGGGATAGGGATATATTGATAGACTATATTTCACAACGATGCGTAGTATTTCATCATCCTCATCGCAAACCACTCTTCATCCTTTTCTATTAATGTGATCTATATATCCATCACACTCTTCCACCCGAATTTCGCGACACTATATTGCACCAAGCTTAGTTGATGCCGAACAATTGACAAAGCAGGTCGAAGTGTCCATAGTGCGAAAGTCGTAAAAGCCGAATAGTGGTCTTTAATTGTTTAATTTGAAACCTTATAAAATACCCGAAATAAAATAAATAATATTTAATTTGTAATACCCTACAGAACAGACACTAAAAACCCTCTTTTCCCCTTTGACTGGACATTTTAATGGAGAGCTATGTGTATCGGTTTCTCTTGCTGCTAAATGGCAAAAATAATGGCTTCGATCTTACTAAAATTCAGCATTTGACAAATACCAATAAATAATATAATTTAAAATCGAAAAAGTCAAAGGAAAGGAGAAAAGCATTATAAATAGATAAAATACTTCTTAAAAATGTATAACTTTAATATGACTTAAAATAATTTAAATAGGAAAAAAATAAAAAAAACATTATAGGTATATAAAATATTTCTTAAAATGTTAAAACTTTAATATAACATACAATTTGAGTTAAAGTTATAATTCTCATTTTGTTAACTAATTCGGTCTCTATTTTGTCGCCCAGTTCCAAGCTCCTATTTGCTTGCAAAAGAGAACTTTAAACGTTTCTTATACAACGTGTTGTTAATAAATTACCCAAATTATGGACGCGAAGTCGTCAGACGCAGTGGCCTCCGAAACTGGCGGTCCTTGAGTTGGGGAACCGGGTCGAAACGGAGCTGGATTCCCACTAGGATGGCAACAGCTGAGCTGGGGGAGAAAGGGGCGAACGGGGTCGACGAGAAGTGGCGGCATCTTAATAAATTCTCATGCGCAACACTTTGACGTTATTAATACGCTGGGGCTTCGAGTGCCACGCACGCACCTAAAACCGCCAACCAAATGACGGCGAATTTTGCTTAATTACACGGCTTATCCGCAGCAGACACCCGACGAGTGCGGTTGCCACGCGGAGTGGGAAAACGGGGGGAGTTCGAAGGGAATTTAATTTCGAACGTCACGGAGACCCTCGTTTCACGTTTAAGATACTGCTCTACATTTATTTGCTTAAAATTCGATCGCAATTTATGTGTCACAGAAATAGGACCAAGACACAGGCTGTGCCGCAAGAGGTGGCTTAATTAAATAAGAGGAAATTCCTTCTGCCACAAGTTCATTGAAATGCGCAAAGCACACAAGTTTAACTAAATGGTAATGAAGTAGGGATTCTAATTTAGTGGCTAATTTCATAGACATCTTAAGACCGTTTCCGTCTGCCTGTCAGCTCACAGAAATTTCAATACAAAAAAACTCACTTTTCACCTTATCATGTTTAACTGGCAAATTACCAAAGGTTGTTAGGCCTGAACTACCTTATATACTAGAGAAAATACTTGGTAGGTTGTTCAAATTTAAATTCATGGAAAATTCTTGGCACCTCATAACTTTTTGAAAATGTGTGATAAAAAAATATTGTATTTCTGTTTCCATTTTTTTTTATAATAAAATATTGAAATGTTGGATTAAAATAATATTGCATATTTCTTTCCAAGCCATTTTAAAATTTTATTTAACGGGGTTGTTAGCAAAAGAATACGACTACCTTATTTGGCATACAAATGTTTCTTAAAGAAATGTATACAAAAATCTTTAACATGTTTGGAAAGATATATCTTTAGAGTTAAACTTCGAAAAATCATAATTTTTCCATCTTAGAGGTCCTATCAAAACCCCAAAGTGCATAATTTTCGTATCCAAATCTTTATTAATATAAACTTTTCGTTTAACACAGTGTTGTTGACATTTGGGGCCTTGCGTTGCATTTAAGTATTATTCCTTAATGTTTTTGTATAATAAATTTTAAGCTTTAGATGCTCAAATTGAAAAATACTCCTCTGACCATTTGCAAGTTTACGAATCTACATCAGGGCTCTTTCTCGCAGCTGGAAGGCTTTTGTATGTTGTATATTGAATGAATTTCTCACAATGTACTTCTAAATTGACTTGGCAAAGGCATTGATGAGCCCTGCCCATCGATGTTAGCAAATAATCTTTCTGCTCTGGCATATTCCCACTGTCAACGGAATAATCAGCCAGGCGGGCTGACATGTTAAGTCACTTTGTCGTCAGGACACACATCCTGACATCCCGACATCACGGCATCCCTACATCCCAATAACCCAAAACAACCCGCCAACCCGACCAGCAACTCACCCTTCTCCCCGTTTTCCTGGCAAATTACACGTCTCGGATTTGAATGCTTCGGTTATTTTCATTTGTTCGAGCGGGTGTTTGTTTGTGTTTTGTCTTGTGGCATTAGTTTAAATTAATATCAGGACAAGGTACGGCAGGCAGCCCGCATGCACAATCACATCGCTATCCCTTGTCGTGTTTTTGGGCTTCACTTATTTGGCTTTGGGTTAAATAACGAGGGCGAATGTGAGGCGATTGGAGCAATAACCTAAATTAAAATGTTTTGTCAGATAAACATTAATTGTTGACTAAACCAGGACAATTTGTTCAGCACCTGGGGCTGAGCTGCTGGCTTAAGGAAAAAGGGTCTCCTCAAAGGAATGCTGGAAGGAAGGTAAGCAAGTGATGAGCTGATTAAATTTGCGGATTTGTGGTTCTTTGTTGATTTAGGTAACCGCAAGTCCTGCCATTCGAGAAGTGGGAATATAAATTGCATATAAAATATAAATGTTTATTAAAATTAATAAGAGCTTCGATCTATGAGCTTAAATTCAAGTGGCGATTTGTCAAACGTCATCGCAAACAAACTCGTTCTCCAGAAAATCGCCTAGCGAAGCACCGTCCACAAATCCCTGTTCATCTCTAAGCCACTGCTGATGGTCAATACCCTTAATTTCGCATACGACCTTGAAGATTAAGTCCTCCTTCTTGGTGTAATAATCGGGTGAATCGAAATTGGAGTCCAGCTGATCCGCTTCCCGCTTAAATTGCTGAAGTTTCTCGTGAAAAGTATGGAATTCCTCATCGTGTTCATCGAATGACTTCAGGGTGAGCAAGGCCAGGAATTCCGACAGGTGGGACTGGAGGAAAGACGGAGCTGAGCTCAAATATAATTAATCGGATCTGGGATCTTACCACATTCGCATGACTCCTCAAAAGGTTCTCGTCGTGGGCAAACTCGACCGCATGTGTGAAGCTATTCATGGCGCTGATTCCAGCTTGGCAAGCGGATTCGTCGGCGGTTTGGGGCAAACTGTCTTCGCTTTCGGAGCTTCGACTCGTCACCATTTATTGGCCTGCAATTTGTTTACATTATGCATGGTGTGAGTGGATTCGTTTCACCCCCAGCCCCCCTCGTTCCCGAGGCCTCCCATCTAGGCCTGCGGAATGTTTATTTTCGTTGCCACTCATCGATGTCGCACAGTCCCCCCAACTTGCCCCCGATCCGCGTTAGAAGTGTAACGTTTCGACACGTAGTCAAAACCGAAATGCTTACTCAGCTGGCAAGTGCATTGCAAATCAAATCGCTAGTTTACGATTAGTAAACATCCATCTCGAATAAAATAAAAGTACTAAAAGTAAAAGTCAATCACGAGATTTAAACCTGCTTTGATATCTTGTCAATGGGTATTAAATTAATTTGATTGTGTCTGAAATATAACTTTATGATCTTCTGCTCTCGGGGAAGCGTTTATATTAAAAATACTTCTGAAGTATTGCAATTAAATTCGCTGCTTATAAGTAAACTTTCTTTAGACCCCCATTTAAATTTTTGTTGATTATTCGAAATTCATTTGTCAGCTTTCCGTGAATATACCCAAATAAAAGCAAAGCGCGTTTTGGCAATAAATCAGAATCGAATTGGGTACACACAAGGAATATGTTTATCTGGTAGAATTTTGATTTCTCGCATCGAGAGACCCAAAAAACTCCAAACAAAAGTCGGAAAAGATACCATAACCGAGCTTATTGCTCAAGCTGCTGCAGTGAAAAAGTAAATAAACCAGATATAGCGCCACGTGAAATACAAGCCAGCAAGTGTAAACAATTCCAGAAATAAAATGAAAGCATCGAATGGCGCTTAGACAAATAAACATTGAATGAGAATTGCGAATGCCATTTAAGAAAAAATGAAACAGTAGAAGGTCGGACTCGTAAAACTTTAATTCTTATTTTTTGTATAGATTTTTACAAATACCCAAAAAGAGGAAGGCAATGAAGTAGTCAAGATCCAATTTAATTATTTTCAATATGATGCGAACTCATATAAATATAGGTACAATTATTTTATATATTCGCAATAAAAGCTTTAATAGCTTTGCGTTACAAAAAGTATTTTTACTTTTTAGAGTGTAATATTCATTTGGAGTCAATTTGTTCTTTTTGCAGCTCTCAGATTAATTATTACATTTTAGGCAAACGGTTTCAAGAAAATAAAAATATATAACTTGATTATCTAATTTGAGTACCACCTAATTTGCTTATGCATAACACAGTTAAATGTACCTAATTGAAAGCGGGCATGTTTATTTTTAATTAGCAAATGATTTTGTATTTTTTCTTTGTTGCAAACAAGCCACAAGGTCCTTAGACACTCTGAGTGTATTCAAATTGAGTTAATTAAGTAATTATGTCTTTATTAGTCGCTGAGGTATAAGCCAAATTGTTGCAATCACACATGCCCATGGCTTCCCAAATAGACGGCGACGAACTCAATAGGCTGCCACCTAAGCCGAGTGTCCTTGTCGCTGCGTCCTGATGTCCTGATGACGCGGGAAGGCAATGAAATAAATCAGGGCTCATTAGAGGCCTCGAGGTAAAGACGACACATGTTGTTTGTGCTCCAATGTGCGACTTCGCCCATTTCAGTGCAGCAAAGCAAAGTCGACAGTCGATGTCAACTTAATCATCGTCAGGACAACACATTCAATGCCTCCAGGAGTGGAATTTCAACTCCTTTTCCGGCGATAACACGACATATTGCCAGCTCATTACGCCAGACTGTCTGCCAGTGTGGGAGTGTCTAATGGGTATGCCTTCTTTTGTCAGTTTTCTACTTATTCTGCGGCTTTCTATCGTGCGCCCCCCTGTCTCGGTCCTAATAATAGCAATATTACACAAGTAATTAGTCACGCATTTAATTATTATTTATGGGCTTTGTCACAGTGTGCGGGTGTGTGTGTCGCCGCTTATCTTCTTCGGGGACTCGCATTCATCCTTTTGCTCCTGTATTCTGTGTCCTGTGTGCGTGTGCCTAACAATTATTACATGTAATTATCCACTTGAATGCCTGTGCCTGAATCATCAGTAAATCTATATGACACATCTGATAAAAGTAAGTAAGTCTGGTTTGGATTGGCATGCTATTAACATATGCATGTCTACGTAAGTAAATTACGAACGAAATCTACAAAGCTATTTCAGCAATATTGCTCATGTCTCCGAGATAATAAATTCAATGATATATTTGGGCATATGTGGGGACTATTTCTGTAACAAGCACTTAGTATTCAAATATTGATAAGCCCCCAGCAAATGACACAAAGACACAGAGATCTTAAGATTCCTATGGGACAAATATCACAGTCTCAAAAGAGACTAGGCTGATTTTGCTGGTGACACTAAAAAATTAAAAGATAAATATCTTTAAATATTCAAGGAACAAATATCACAGTCTTAAAAAGACTATTTCAGAGAAACCCAAGTCGGATTGGATCACATTTATTCCTGCCATCAATTTATAATTGCTTATACTTAATTATTAATTAATGGCAGATATAAATATGAACCTATTAGGACCAATCCAATTGAAATATTGGAAAAAAATATACGAGAGCAGCTGCTGTAGTCAATCGGGTTAAAGTTAAAGTTCAATCACGTAAATCAACGTGACCGAATCTCAAGATGTTGGTCCGCTGGAAAAACTTTCATCGATTAAAAACTTTTCGGGGTGGCCAGGCATTATCAGCTGGGCAAAGCCAAACTTATAGCCGACAGCTGCCGAATGGAAAAATGAGATTTGTTTGTTGCATAATAATTGGAGGCGATAGGCCCTTGAAATGCCAAGAATCGAAGAACTCAAGAGTTGGGCAAGGGCAGCCGGAAACCGAAAATAATACACCAGATTGGGGAAGTCAAATCTCTGTTGATTGGCCTGGCACGTTTCCTTGTCAGCTGTTTATTGAGGCGTGATATAATTAGCATAACATCGACACGGATTCCGCACCAGAGGCAGTGCGAAAAATAAAAAAGAAAAACGCGGGCAAAGTCCAGGCTTAGACGCAATTTGCTTAATGCTTAAACTTTTAATCACTCATACGCTCCGTGGCGCCAAAGAAATAGCCCGAGAGCTGGCAGATCCGGCTGAGGAAAACAAATTTCACTTCAGAGGAAAGATGTGCTGCTTTTCCGCATCCAAGGCAAATAGTAAACAAAGCGTTGGGCGAAATGAAATAAGTGTAAATACGACAAAAATTCACTCGCCTCACACACACACGCACACGCACACACCCCAAGATGCTCGCTCAAATATGTATGTATGCGCATCTGATTAAATACAAGTGCTTATGTGTGTGAGTTTGGCCCTGCTTATATGCCTTTTATCCCCATGAGGGCCGAGGGGGGATGGGGGAAGGGAGGATGCAGCCCCTTTGGGCCTCCCCCCAAAAAAAAATCATCTGCTTTGCCTTAAGCTCGAGTTTAATTCCTGCTTTGACTTTTGCAATGCACACTCAAGACACCAAAAGAACAGTGGGGTCACCAAAAATGGAACCAAAACAAGAATGTTTGGTTGGATCTTTCAAAGTTTTACATCATTTTTATAGAGCTCTCTGTATGCTTCTCCCTTCAAAAATGGTTTCTCTAAAACATTTTTGTCCCCATTTATTAATTTTAATACCTTCCGAAAGCTATTTATTTATTTATTAGTTACAAATAACTAAGGACAAATGGATCTTTAATATAGTAGAGATATTATTTTTAAAATTATCGTTATTTTAAGGAGTTTACTGTACGATTTCATTACCGGTCCACCAAAAGTGTATAAAATTGGGTATTTTAAATTTGTTAAAAATACCGCCAAGTGTCAAAAAAATGTTATTGGTATTTAAAATAATACATTTTATTTAATTAATTAAACTTAGTTATTAAATTGGTAATTTAATTAAATACTCTTTGATTCTCAGAAATTTAATTTGGTTTTCTTTGAAACGCCTGCCTTTTTTGGTTGATCAAATAAAAGTGCCCGCTTGACCTTAGCTAACATTAGCTTAACAGATTTTCAAATGCGGCTTTATCTTTTCTTAAGAAGAAAAACATTTCGCAATGAAAGGGTGTTTGAAATTTCAGAGCCTGAAATTAAGACTTTGCGTCTTTTCTTGTGGTTTTTTCGTTCTTCAGATTACAATGTAAGCTGCGGCGCGTTAAAGTAAGAATACTGTGTGTGTGTGTGTGCCAGTGGGTTGGTGGTTAGTAGTGGTGTTTTGTGTGCCGACCTATTTGCTTAAACACACTCTAACTGGCACTCAGCCCACTTCTCCACATCTCCACGCCCCCGAGCAAGGAGCTGCTCCCTCGGAAAACGCCTGGCTGCGTCTTCTACTTTCGCCTCTCATAACACATTAGCGAAAGTGAAAGCCGCCATAATGACTGCCCCCAGTTGATTTTCATTCGCCTTTCGTGTCTGTGTCGCACATACATTTATATTAGTTCAACGAGACTCCAAAAGCGAGGGAAAAGCAAATTGGCGGGATTGAGAATGATGATGAAACGAGTTCTCATGTTTCGAGCTTCTAAAAGGCGATTATTTAAGTTTTTTGTGTCAAAATATCGTGAGATAATGCGATAAAGGTTTATTTAGGTGTTTTTTTTATTATATGCCTGAGGAGTCTTTGTAACGATACTGATATATGTTACATATTTATTTGACAAAATCTATGCTGTATATAAAATATCTATACCTCTACCCCGAAAATATATAAACGTTCGTTAAACGATATAAAATGCTTGAGAGTGAAAAATCTAAAACGTTAAAATATCTAAGAACTGCCGGATGTTTTTCCTTTAATTCGAAGAGCTTCTATGTTCCGCGATTACATATAATCATAGAATGACTGGATCTCTACTTACTGTACTCAATTCCTTATATATACCAGCCTTGTATTAAATCCCCGTCTTTCCTTCCGGTGCCAAAAAAGTTGTAAGCAAGATGAAAACACAATTTTGAAATGTCAGTCAAATATAATAGGAAATTCATGGGCAACTACTTTGGCAGGCATTTCAACTTTGTAAATCTTATTTGCCGAAGCCCGTGGCCTGTCAATTGCGTTCGTATTCCAGTTTTCCCATCATCGACATCGCCATAGCTATCCGCCATCCCAGAGGGGCAAAGAAAAAACAAACTTTTATTAGTTTTCCGGCCGAACGTTAACCGTATTAAAAAGCACTCGGCAACAGCCAACATTAGTGAGACGCAGAATATGCGACACCATAAAGCAAAGTGTGTCGCACAACTGATAATCGCAGCCGCACACCAACAATAGAATGGAAATTGAAAAACTGTAGCCCACTTATTCGGGCTCCAAGTGCCCCGAACTTCTTCAAAAACGCATAAAAAATCAATGGCAAGAGCCGCCATGTGCGCAATAAATGTCAGCTACAAACGAAAACTTCACATGTTTTTTGTTCGACTTCCTTTTCCAGAACATCCGCTTCGGGTGTGCGAGTGTGTGTGCGATTGTGTGTGTGTGCGCCAATTTGTAGAGCATACTTATGTGAGCAGTCGAAGAAAGCCTGTCCCGCACAAATTGAAATCCGCCATAAATTGGTGAGCGGAGACTGACTGAAAAGAAATAAAGCAAAGTCGAGTCGAGCCGAACTGATGACAATTTATTGTTCACACTTGCAACTGATGATGGTGCTTAGGGGAATATACGTATATGTGCAAAAACCAACGTGTGCCACGTGTGTGCGAGCGTGTGTTTGCCAAAGAATATTTCATTGTCTGGCAGTGGGCTAAATGTAGGCTCTACAAATTGCCAGCCATTATTTTGCGCCTATGCCAATACTCCAAAATATATTTGCGATATGTATGCAATTTAGTGATGAGAGCGTAGCTGTGCAAAGTCACAAAACTCAAAAAAGATTGATGCACCGATATAGTATCGATGTAAGTCTCTACAATGATGAAGGGCACATTAAAAAAGGTCAGAATGCAATCAATTTTAGGGATACAAATTGTGCAATGCCTAAATGTTTTAAATAAAAATCCATTTTATATACAAAAGTAAAGTAAAGCATAATTTAAGTTGAGAGTGCTAAGAATGTACATTGTTAGCATCAGCCAACAGATTTGCTTGTATACAATCATTTTGTCAAAGAAATTTGGATACAAAATATCAAAAATGTGCATTTTACTAACAAGATTACCTGGTTTTAACGCAAGCATAATATTTCTAGCTATTAACGAAAAAAATTTAATCTGTATAATAGATTTATTTGGTTCTTATCAGCTTATATGACTTAATTATTGAAAAATTAGAACAAATCGTTGCCTTTCTTAAAAGCATTAACGATAAACTTGTAAAGGCAAAAAAAACATGTTTATAAAATTAAGTGAAATATAAATTATAGTTTAAATTTATATAATTTTCTGCAATATTAACAAATTTATGACCAAAAGCTATTTATTTGTTTGACTTTTAAAATCATGTTACTATTAATTGATTGTCTGAAACTTTTGCCTCTACAATGTAATGTTTTGAACTTGTTCTTTTCGGTATGCATTTCCCTCCCGATAGTTTAAATTTGCTGTCACTAGCTGCTAAAGTCTGGATTGTAAAAACAAAACGAAAGCCCCTTATAAAGCCTTAGAACAAAAGCCAGGGCGACTGAAAGTAAGCAAAAGTGACTCAAGAACCATCTCTTTTCGCCATTTATTTTCTTATACATGCGCGCGTATCGAGATGCGAATTCATTTTATTTGCTTTATTCCATGGTTGTACAGGTGTGCAGACGATTTTCAATTGTGCGTCTTGTGCTCCTGGCAGGCGATGATTTAAATGGCCGGGAAGTTTTGCCGACTCGACTGTTTTGTGGGGCCTACGCTCTTTCACAACTTTTGTGGGGAACTAAAACTTTTCCAGCGCCTAGGAAAGTTCTTTCAAAATACCGCGCACAATAAATGGAAAGTTTTTGCACCTTAAATGATGCCTCCAATCATATGATTAAAGGTGATTTTCCGTTCGCGGCAGCTTAAGAACTCGCACCACAACCGGACGGCCGTCAGAAGTTGCGATGTGGCTCGTTTAACACATTTAAATTCAGGCCAGACAGCAAAAATCCACTTCTGCCCTGGTCTTCGTTATCATTTATGAGTTGTTGCCGGGGCCGTTGCTGCTATTACGGCCTCTAAGTCTCGGCTAATAGCGGCTTTAAAATTTATAGAGTTTTCGGACTGCCAGACGGCTTAGGAGCGAAGTGATTGCCCCTTAAAATTTATGCCGCTTCTGGCCTGATGGTATCGTGAATAAGACAACTGTAATGCGATACTATTCCCAGTCTGGCCAGGGATATGTAAGTGGGCTGATTCGGGTTTTGGGTCACCAATTAAAAGAACACGAAAAACCCTTGTCTTCTGGTGAAAGAGTATCCGCACTTTGGCCATGGAAACGGCAGGAAAGCTGTCTTTCCTTGTTATTTAAGGCGTGGGGCTCGGCTTGCCTTTTGACATATTATGCCATAATTCCTGCGGCAAAACGTTTAGTTGAGCTACATAAATAATAAATATACAGGCTCAGGCAGTGGCCTACATACACACAACATGACATATTCGGGGCTCGGGACCGGGACCTTTTGGGCTGATTTTGTATACGTGGAAGTATCTTTTCTATGCTCCCCTGGCTCGGGTCTTGATTTACAAGGCTTCAAGACGGTGCTTCATGCTCGAATTGTTCTTCTGGCTTTTAATTTGCATTTTGCCCGGCTCAATTCGTGCAGCAAAATTGTTTTCGCAAAGATTTAGCATAAAATATTGAAAACATTTAGACAAAGTAATAGCAATGTGCCAAGACTTATGTAAAATTTATTTTAATTGTTTTTTTTGGCGCCTCCGTCCTTCGTCTTTTTCTGGTGCTGTTCACATCGATATGCAAATTTGGCCAAGTCCAAGTGACTTCGGAGTAAATCGAAAAAGTTTTGATCTCCGAGTAAAAACTAATAGTCGTAAATATTTATGTGTGCCAATGTTCGAGCTTAGAAATGTGTCCAAAAAGCTCAGTGCGACTTAGTTGCAATGGCAGGGAGCAGTTCAATCTCTGTATTCTGGCGATGGCAGACCGATTTTTATCAAATTTCCATTTTGGACTTAGGCAGCAAAAGAGTCTCTTTCCTTGCATTGCTAATGAAATTAAATTGAAACTTTGCTTTGTTGGCGAGCCAAGAATAAGGGCTCAAATCAATTGGTCTGGCACAGCTTTCATTAACGGAGGGATTTCGAAAGTCTAGTCGTGATGGCCATGAATGGGTTTCGGTCGGGCAAGTTAACATGATAATAAAAGTTAAGCCTTTGAGTAATGGTTTCCCATTATACAACTACTATAAATGGAACTTTTTTAATCAAAGTCATAAATTTTATGCTTTTTTACATATCAAATAAATATTTAAGGACTCATTGGCAGGTGCCTAAAGATTTTTGTTATAGATCCTTATAACTACAAATTTCCACTTCAACTTATAAATAAAAACATAGAACTCAATTTTCAAGAGAACTCTTAAGAATTAATAGCCGCTGGCCAGCTGTGAAGTAACGCTCCACTTTGCTTCCATGAGCCATTATGTTCATTCGACGCCTGTGAAAACTGAGGACATTAATCTTCCTGCCACATAGAAATTCATGTGAGCGAGACATTTGCCAACAGCCTTTGGCGATGGTGCACTTTCAACTTCAACACGTTGCCGAGTCCGAGCCAATGAAAGTCGCGAGCGGACGTGGAGTGTGGTGGATTCTATTCCAAGCAGACCCCACAATCTTGGGCCATCTCGGCTGAGTCCATTTAGCCGAGATTCCCTAGCCGCAGGCCCATTTGCTTTGGCCGGAGCCAACTTCAATGGGCCTAAGCCTCAAATATGTTTGGCTGCCCAGTGGCAAAATGATACTCCGCTTAAACAAATATATCCAAAGAAAAGAAAAATAAACGAAAAAAAATGAAATGGAAAACCTATGGGACATGCTTCCGCACAAGAATGTTAGGATATGGCCCACGGACGCCTTTTGATATGCTAAATAAAAATTGTGAACAACGATTTTAATAAATATTCCCCACACACCCATTTGCCATTGACAACAGCGCAGACAGACAACTAGAAAACTCCTCGAGGACATTGATAGAACGGGCTGCTTATTGAATTTTTCAAAAGACCTTTTCTGTTTTTAGCCACTCCCCCGAGGAGAATGGGCTTAAAGTGTTGTAAGCCAAGTGATTTTAAAGAGCTTTGGCTGCATTTTATAAAGGTGTTTGTATGATTTATTAGGGGTCACAGCGGCAGTTAAAGGTCTTAGGTTTTGGCCTTCTTAACGATTTGATTATTTAATCAGTTACTAAAGCAAAATTTCCCTTTTAAGATATGTATTAAACACTATTATTCACAGTCTGTTTCACCTTTGACCATAATGTGTCCATTTAATACAAAAATCCATTTACACTAAAGCCGAAAAGCAAATTCGTCTCAAATCTCATTATGTTGTCAAGGAGTGCCAAATTAATCTTAGCGCTCAAAAGAAAAGCCGATTTTCCGTCTGCAGCAGATCGATTTCGGGGACAATCAACGCCCTTTTTTTGTAGTTGACTGAAGGCTTTATTTGTCTTTTATGACCCTTCTTTGGAGGTAAAATATTTTTTGCCTGCTGTTGATATTTTCGCAGCCGTTAAAGCGAATAAAAATATACCTCGGCGGAAACAAAGCAAGAAGTTTATGACAGGAGCGTGGAAAAAACGAGAGGATGACGGCCATCAACCGCAGCAATCGGGTAACCAACCAAAACGAGCCATTAAGCTCCTCCGCACTCAACTCAACATTTTTGGCCAAAACAACACAAAGAGTTGGGAAAAAGCGAACTGCGCTCGATCGTTAAATCAAAAAGCCGCATGCGAGTGCCTGCAACATCATTAGTTGCAGTTCACACACACTCAAGTGCAAGTTATGCCACCAGATAGTCGCCATCCAGCCCATCCAAACTCATCGAGCACACCCCTTTTTTTCGCTTTTGCCCCTGTGTGGAGGCACTCGCAAACGCCGCTTTTTTGCGAGGTGTCCAAATTAAATTTGCATCAGTTGCTCCACGAGCATCTAAATGATGCCAAAACTGAAAGTGTATCAGTGTGTGAGTGCAGGACTGCAGCAACAACAACAAACACCAACAGAAGAAAGGAGCGCCACGCTGCAGATGCAAAAAATGCAGCACTCACTTTGGCATTTCGTGTCTAGTTTTATTTTTTTTAGATTTTTTTTTTATGTTCAGACTACTTTTCCATAAAAGCGGAGAGTTCTTTTTTCATATATGCTTTACAGTGAGCATTGTCCAAGTGAAACTCTGCTTTAACATCTATAATAATGGAAGCTGTTACCAATATTAATAAACGGCAAGACCAATACAACATTTATTTCAAACGTAATTCAGTTTGATGGTTATTTACCCCTACTTGAATTACTTTTAATGTGCAAAACAGGTATTGCTGTAATAAAGTCAAGTAAGATAAGAAATATGAATTTATTAAACTTAATATAATTCGAATTTTTTGTAACTTAGTTTGGAATAAGATGTACTAATTATATCAAAATTATCCTAAGCTTAAATTTATAAATTGACTTTAAATTCTTATTAAACCAAATATAAATCTATGGCCTAATAAATTAAATGATAATAAAGTAATTTAATACCCTTAGCCTTTCCAGGGTAAATCATGTTTAGTTTTTTCAAATACCTATATAAAAAGGTAACTATTTAGTAGACATTTCAAAGTTGAACTTAAAAGCAATACATTGCTTGTTTCAATCTAGTAATGACTAAATAAGATGGTAACCTAGGCGTATGCGCAATATTAAATGTTTTACCACGCTAGGGTGCACGTTTGAATTGATGTAATTGCAGCAATAATAAATATTTAGAAAATTTAAATGTTTTTAAACTAATTTGTCAATTGGTATTCGGTTGATTCAAAATCCCTTTTGTCTGAGAAGCGAGCCAAAAATGGATATTCGTAACCTGTGAGCCACTGTAAATCGCTGTGTCTCTATGTGGCTATTTCGACCACCTCCCCCTCACTCTTTCCATATATGTATGCATGAGTGTGCCTGTGTGCGGGGGTGGGCACTTAAATAATTTAGATTTTTGTGTCTAACATGCACATTCAAGTGCAGCCGGCAAAGTGAGTGACCCAGTTAGAGACTGGAAGCAGTGACAGGAGGAAAGGACGTGGACTTGGATGTGGATGTGGATGTGGATGCGGAATGGGATGTGCAATAGGATGTGGATGGGTGGCAGCTTTTGCCAGTTTGTGAGTTATGGAAAGCCGTCGACTACCTGGCCATTATCAGCAAGCGAGTCGCGTCGCTGTTTGGCGACTGCTCTGCTGCCATTATGCGCTCATTAAAATGTCAAATAAATTCAAATGCAGAAAACATGATTTTTCGCTTTTCGCCGAGAGGTGCAAATGGGTGTGCCGCACGTGGTGAGGTGTGGATTGCAGTTCGCCGGGAATGAAGATAATCCGTGCCGCACTGCGCTGCATAGTTGGCGCTGAATGATTTATAATTTATACGCGTCTGTAGTCGCGAACTTTGAACTTTGCTGAACCGAGCACGTTATGGTTTGGCAATGACTAGGCTTAAATAGAAGTGACAGACACTATGTATCTTTAAAGTTGAATTGACTCCTTTCGACTTGTAAGACTTTCTTTTCCTAAACTCATCAGTAAGCAGAAATGTGTTTGGAGTATTTTGGAGTATTTCCTTCACGTTTTATAGAAGGTTCCACTAGCATAATCACTTAGGACATTAAAAGCGCTCACTTATTTTAATTAAAAACAATTTCCATTGTTGAAGTCCATCCTCCTTCTTAAAATAGTCAGGAAATAGTTTAATTGCTTGCCTGATGTAGTACATATATAATTATTATGTGCCACTTCCCCATTGTTTTGGTTTTATTGCTCTGGCGCTATTTGTCCTTCTATCCTAAAGAGCCGTAAAATGGCATGTCATCGTGCATTTTTCAAATAAATTCGAGTGCACACACCCACTTACGTACGGAACAAGCTCAGAAATATAGTTCTTGGTCCTGGGGAAGGAGCATTTTTACTGGGCATTGAGTGGCATTTAATTAATGTTTTCCCTTTTGAGCTATTGCTTTCCGCTGTCCTGCGAAGAGGTCACTCTTCGTTTCCCTTTTTTTATACCCAACCCCCAAAGGATAAGCTAAAAGTGCTAGACTGCGTAGTTTTCAAACTGTTTGTGTTTATCTTGATGTTTTGGCCATTGCTTAGTAGTTGAAAAATTTCCTTCGCAACTTGCAATTCGAATGGATTAGTGGTAAAGTTTGTGATGCACAGACAAAGATAAAAAGAAGAGAAGGCATTTAAACTTTCGTGTGATGATGCAACTAAATAGACCTTAAAGACTGTGGTTTACAATAAATATTTAATGTATCCAATTTCAATTTTGAATGTTTTCATGTTCCTAACAGTTTATTCTCCTTTTCTTTTGCAGCAAACATCGTGGACGGCAATAGCAACCTGTTGCCCATAATTTCTGCGCCATCGACCATTGATAATGATTACGTCTACATTGCTTCTGTCAATAGCAAATTCCCCCAGTTCGGAAATGCCCTGGACGAGGAGCAGGAGGCCGAGGAGCAGCAGCCAGATGAGACCACCTATCCACCGCCCGTTTTCGACTTTGGGATGCCCAGGAACATTACGACCAGGACGGGACACACGGCGGCCATCAACTGCCGCGTGGACAATCTGGGAGATAAATCGGTGAGTGAGTCAAGTGATTGCATTTGCCAGCTTATCATTGAATGGATTTTTCTCCGGCGGATTTTCATTTTAATGCATTTTTAAGGAAAATATTTGGAACGTCAGTCAAGCTGAAAATCAAGTTAGCGCTAACTTTTCTCATGCAGTTTTCCGAGCAACTTCCATCTGCCTTCTCCATCGCTTTCGTCTCCATTCCACGGATCTTGGCCACCCTTGTATTGCCGGTTCAATGACAAAGTTTTTGCCATCCTCTGAGCCCCTCCAGTCTGCCCTTTGACCAACGCCGAGTTTACTTTGTGAACTCGTTTTGTTTTTATTCAGCTTTCCCTATTTTTCTTTTCCTCAAGCTTGATACCACTGCCACTTCTGTTTGAGTTCAGGGGTACATTATATTCGAGACCGTGAAAAGTATAGATATTACTTTATTAGATCAATCCAAAAAAATCTTAACTAGTTTGCAAACTTGAGTCGATCGCCACTTAAACTTACATCATTTCCAATAAAATATGTTAGAACTAAAAAGCGTTAAGAAAATAGAACTCAACAGATATTGAAATTATTTAAGTTTGACTTCTTAAACTTCTTTTTACAGATTGAAAAGAAAGATTATAGTTTTTGACTAATTTTGACTAATTTAAAAAAATATTGTTCTTGACAAAAACGCTAACGATTTATAAACTATTTTCTGTGTTTAAAATGAATAAACGCAAGACATACAAATATAAGCAATTCGTTATAAACCATTAAGTTTGAGGGTGCCACTTCTTAGATGTATCTTTTGTAAAGATAACTGGATATATGTTTTGGTTAATGGTAATCTAAGCGTGTTTCTGTGTGCCGTCAGCTAACGTGTCCGAGTCCTCCATCCTTCGCAATCACCATCCATCTCCTGCTCACTAGCAGCGTGGTCTGATCCAGATTTACTATCGCGCCGTAGTGCGACCATCTATTTCCCACGAGCTCGTCTGAGACGCTGTTCCCTTTCGCCACTTTGACACTTTTAGTTTCGTTTATACCTTCACTGGTTTTCCTCGGTTTCCCCGTTTTCCGCCTCATTTTTTCGTGTTTTTTTACGTCTTTCGGTGCTTTGAAAAGTTTTGTTTGCCCGAGGCCGTCTGGGAGATTACTTTTTGCCTGCTGCAGTAGCGCCAGGCTTTCTTTCAATTCGCCTGGTGTTTTGCGGGGCTGTTGGCAACTTTAAGCCGCTGACATTTTGGGCACGCACTTGTCTCCATTTTTCTTCCCCATCTGCTCTTTTTTTACCCATCCCTTTACTGGGTGAAACAATTTACCTTGTATGGGATACGGTGGAATCTGCTTTAAGTTGAGATCGAGTCAAGTCCACAGTTCGATTTGATTGTTCAATCGCTTTCAGTGAATTATCGTATCCGATTTAGTTTCCTAAAAGCAAAAAAAGAACGTAATTTTGTCAGTTACTCTTCCAAATGTGAGTTTTTTTTTTAAAATGTGGTTTTTTATGTTAGGCCCCACTGTATTTGCAATAACCTTCAGCAGGTTTAAGAGTTGGCTGCTTGGTTCATTTTGCCGCTTGGCTTATTAAATTTTCGTATCTATACTTGGGACTGGAAGCGAGTTCGTTGAGTTTTTGAGCAGCCGAGTGGCAGGACCAGAGGCAATTTTAAAAAATTGACTTAAGCACTGGCACTAACAGCATTTGGTGTCCCTTTTTTTTTATTCTATTGCAGGTATCCTGGATAAGGAAACGCGATTTGCACATTCTGACTGCAGGCATTTTGACCTACACATCTGATGAGCGTTTCAAGGTGCGTATACGTAATCTGGGCTAAAGTTACCATACCTGTCCTCCGTTCGCAATTTTCCCTTGGCCCGGGTAGCTTATTAAATGTCCGCCGGGCTTGTACGCAAAGTCAGCTTAATTGCGTATGCAATTCGGGCCAAGCAACTTGTATGCATTGATTAAATTTGCCAAGGACTCGGCAGTCCCATACCCCAGCAACGATTTATCTTGGCATCCAGTTTCACCCACTCTGTCTCTCTCTCTCTCTATATATCCCTTTCTGTGGCTCCATCTCGCTCTAACCCGAGCAGGTGGTGCGGACCGCCGACTCCAAGGATTGGACATTGCATGTGAAATATGCCCAGCCACGTGACAGCGGCATCTACGAATGCCAAGTGAATACGGAGCCAAAGATTTCGATGGCATTCCGCCTGAATGTCATAGGTGAGTAAAGCAGCCCCGTTCGTTCCACTTCCCCCAAGTCCCCATAAAGTCCAGGCCCAAGTCCTTTCGTCCTGCCCCACCCCCTTCGCCTCCTCACACAGCTGCATACGCATTGTCAGCGAGTCGTTGGCATTCGCACGACCTGCAATGGCAACTTTTTATACACTCTGCATTTCTCTCCGGCGAAGGGCTTTGTAAATTGGCCGTAAACTTTGCTAGTTTCTGGGGGCTTGGCAAGATCTACTGGTGGAGCAAAAGTTCCTCCTCTGCTATATATGGCGATGTCTGGATGGCCGTACGTCATAATAGTTTATCCTTGCCATCATGGCACTTCTGGCCAGGACTGGGATATCACTTGCCGATTACACAAAGGCAGGGAAAGAGATTTGATTGATTTTCAGATTTGCAGAAAACAGTTTTAAATAATTTAATGCCAACAGAAAATGTTAGGCATTCGCAATTCGGAAGGGTGTTGCTTCTAAAATCTTGGTACATGAATTAGAGGTTTTAAAAACTTATAATTATTCATAGATTTAGTTCTTGAAATTTCTTTCGTATATGTAGAAATATCTCAGTAATGACTTAACCTTTAATAAATATAAAACAGAAAATAAGTATACTAGCTTAGTAAAAGTATTTAAGTAAAACATATAAAATTAATACAATAACGCGTGAATAAAATTTAAGTAATTTTTGTCATGAATAATCAGTTTCAAAACTATTAAATTTGAAATATTTACGTTTTAAAATATTTTAAAAACTTATTTCACATGGCTTAAGTTTCGAAATGATAAAAGTATTATTTTACGTTTAACAAAATATCTTCAATACTTCTTTCTACTGATACTTTTTGTTAAAAAAAAACAACTAAAATAAAACAGAGACATACCGAAACCCCTGAGACTCGTTTAAGTAAAAATAACCGCAAATAAATTGATCAAATATTCCTGTTTTTAGTATGCATAGAGGCATTTGCAAGTGTTATGGGGTTAAGTTTTAAAGGTGAAGTGGAAACTCTGCCTGCCGACTGTAGGTCAGACTACAGAATAACAACTGTTGGCACCTGCCAACCCTGTTACCCCTCTCCGCTCCTTTCCCCCCTCATCACCCCCTACCCCCACAAATGTTCGGCTTGTCTATTTTTCTACACGCTTTGCATGCAAACGCAATTTGCATTTAAATTTAATACTAAATTCATATGCTGGCTGTTGTAATACACACCAGGGAGTGCGGTGGGGGGTGCGGCGCCCCCCTCGACGCCCTTGGCTTGAGGTGAACCCCCTTCCCTCCTTTTCTCTCATTGTTCTGCCATTTCACAAGTTTTCTACAATGGATTTCCGCTTGCGATCCGAGGCAAGTCGGGGTATTGGGATAGGATGCGGATACCCTGTTTGTTTGTGGCTGTGTGTTGCTATAAATTGCTCCACAAAGCATGCACGTTCATGTTTCATTCATGTACGTAAAATTGATTTCAAACTTTTTCGCCGTGCCCGGGCAGCCAAGCGAGCAAGGAAGTATTCTATGGAGGGAATCTCCGGCGTCCTGCGCCCTTCGTCCTGCGTCTTTCGTCCTCCCACGTAGTTACTATAGTCTCCTCGTTTGTCGTCATCGTCGGACGCCGGAAAGTTTTGTTTGACCAGCGTGAAAGTTAATTGAAATAATCGGGAGGAGTTTGCTACTTTGGCAGTGATTGGTTTAGTTTCTACTTCAATGTTTTCATGTAATGTTTTCTTCGCAAAGAACCCTAATCTACACGGAGGAAAATAACCACGTAGATAAAGACACAACAATGTGCAAAATGTATTTAAAACAAGAGAGAACGCTATAGTCGGGTGCCCCGACTGTCAGATACCCGTTACTCAGGCAAAGGAAGTGCGAGGGAGATGGAGATAGAAACTATGATCACGCATAACTTTTAAACGAATGCACACTGGTCCCAATGACCAATATTTTTGCATAAACTAGAAAAATGAAGCTACAGACTTGAAACTTGGCACACTATATAGTTACTATATATGCAAAGTCTGGACAAAATTTTGAGCCGATCGGGCCACGCCTTCCTTTCCGCCCCATAGAAATGCACCCCGGGACAAAAATTTACAAAACATCCACGAAAATTGGGCCAATATATCCAATAAATTTTAAATATATATAAAATATCTTTAGTAAAGCCAATAGCCAATATTTCCAATAAATTTTAAATATATATAAAATACCCTACCAATTTTCAACTTCCAAACTAAATAATGCATCTTAAAAAATTATAAAATATTTACTTAATTAATTTTTAATCACTTTCAACATCTAAATCAAAGGAATAGGTATCGTTACATTCAAAGGTATCCAAGTCATCTTCATCATCATTATCTGTAGTAGGATAACTATTTAGGAATTCGACAATTGGTGGTGTTAAAAGATCATTAAAAGGGCATTTTTTTATTCCAGCATCCACATAAGCAACAAAGTTCTTAATCCTCTTTTTCAAAGGATCTATGTTTTGCTTTAAGTTTCCAATTCGATGCTGCAACACAAAGTCGTAAAGGCTTTCGGTTTCGCGCCCATGTGCCAGCCAATACTCTAGCATTTCTCCATAACATAGGTCTATGTTGTCTAGCAAAAAGTTTTTTTTTTGGAAAATGGAGCAAAAACGAGCAAAAAAGGTTTATGTCATCGTATTGTAAATAAATGAAAGAACAAAACTGCGTTAATAGTTTTTATAATCCGGCACAATCCAACATACTTTTGTTCCAAGAAACACGAAAAATGATAGGTTAAAATTGTTAAAAATACAACTCTACAAAAGCACACATACACAAAGACAAATCACATTAAACAAATATTGCATTAAACACTTAAATTTTACATACCTCCACTAATATTTTCCATTTTACTTTGTTTTAAAATGTTAAGTAGAACTTTTGCAATCTTACTTTAAAGTGTTGATTTTATTTAGCGCGCCAAAAAGTCAACATTTCTGATCAAAGAACTGCTGACTTTCAGGGCTACCAAATTTAACAGGGCTGCAATTTCAGTAACGAAATTGCGATTTTTAAATGCAACGTATATTATTCTACGAAGATAAAATGTTTTTTTTTTTCATAACTTCAAAAAAAACAAGAGAGAACGCTATAGTCGGGTGCCCCGACTATCAGATACCCGTTACTCAGGTAAAGGGAGTGCGAGGGAGATGGAGATAGAAACTTTGATCACGCATAACTTTTTAACGAATGGTCCGATTTGAAAAATTTCTTCTACATTTCGATAGGTATTGATAAACACAATAAAACTGCATTTTTACTTTTCCGAAATATTTAAATTTTTAAAATCGTATATAAGCGATTGTGGGCGTTTAAGGGGGCGTGGCACCTTTTTCAAACAAACTTGCGCTGCGTAGGAACACCTAGAATCTGCATGCAAAATGCCAATCTTCTAGCTTTTATAGTTTCCGAGATCTCAGCGTTCATACGGACGGACAGACGGTCAGACGGACAGACAGACAGACGGACAGACGGACAGACGGACATGGCTATATCGACTCGGCTAGTGACCCTGATCAAGAATATATATACTTTATAGGGTCGGAAACGCTTCCTTCTAGCTGTTACATACTTTTGCACGAATACAATATACCCTTTTACTCTACGAGTAACGGGTATAAAAATGTATTTTACTTACAATAAATTTGTTTACAATTTAAAATTTTATATATATGTTTTTTAATATTTAGAAATATATTTATTATTTGTAGTGTTATAAAATAATCTTGCTGTATTTTCACGTTATCGGAATAGAAACTACAATTTAGAGTATTTTTGTAATATTTCCTTGGTAAATGGCAACAAACCTGCTTATTATTTTTAATATTATATAATTATTTTTCATATATTTTTCGGCTAACATTCCAAATGTTTTTACACTAGCAGAATAAAAAAACACAATAATGATAGGTAGACGGTAATATCAAGTCAAAAGGTTTTTCTTTCTCCTGTGCGTAGTATATAATTCCCTTAAGCATCGGTGGAAAATCCATCTTAAATGGGTGTGCACCCCCGCTGATAAAGGATAAAGGATAAAGGACTGCCAGTAACAAATTGCCTGCCACCGGCGAGCTGCATGCCTCCAGTTTATAACGATGAACTGGATTCAAGGGGTGTAAATCTCATCAAAAGCCGAAGTCATATCAACGTTTCAGCTTCCGCAGTTGCTCGTCTGCAACCTGGCGGTGGAAAACATCCTGCCCGCCCGGGAACTGCACTGCGGATGTAGTAATCCTTCGCCGCGCTTCTTTCGGGGAACGGAGTTCATCGGCGACAGGAAGCCGAGAGCCATGTTGGTCCCCGGGAAAAGGTAAAATTCAAGCGAATCGCGCGGCCAAGTTAAGGAATTTATGCTAATGATTTGCACCGCCAGAAGCGCTCGACTGCGATGAAATCGTGTTATAAATATTTTCACTGTCGTCACGCGAATCACGTGAAGCGCCCACGGAAATATTTTCATCTGATTTATGCCGGAATCATCTCATACAAAATTAATTTAACTAAAACGGAATGAAATGCTTAAGGGTCAAAGTGTATACAAAAAGTTTCCAACTGTTGAATCTTTATTTGTTAAGAAACATCACTAAAAAGATTCTACACCGTTTATATTGTGATATATTTGAAAGGATAATGGTTTATTTAAAACACAATAGGTTTAAGAAGTTGTATAAAATTGATTAAATTATTTTGAACTTACTTTATGAACATAAGAAGAAATATAATAGGTGCTAGAATACTTTGTTTAAGTTTTATGAATTTATTATACATTTTCATTTGCTACAGTATTAGTTGTATAGCACTGGAAGTAAAAGCTTAAATTTATTAAAATATTTGAAATACAACCCGAAAATAAAAATAAAATAGCTTGAAGAACCTAATCGCCTTACAGACTATTTAATCGTTAAATAAACGATAATGAGTACCAGCTATGAAAGTTGTAAATTTATAATGTTTACAGGCACGAAAAATACTACACAAAATTTGTAGATGAGTTTATTTTTTGTAAGCCAGTTATAAATTTTACTCTAAAATATCAATTTATTAATATCAATAAATTAGAATACTACAAATTCTTAAGCATCTAAATAATTTTAAAGCGTTTACAAAGTGATAGGAAAATGATCCCGTCGACCCTCGTATAAAATAGTAAACATTTACGCGTGTTTATTCCTCCAATTTCAAATTTCCAATCTCGAACTTGTGAAAGTCAAAGGCATTTAAGACGCTATCTACGAGGGCGTCAATGGGATCCACTAATGCCAAGTTAACTAACAAACTGAATCGCTCTCTCGCCACTGAACCCACTGCACTGCGCTGGAGTCTTTCGTTGTTTGGGTGCCCGCAATCCGCTTTCATGCCCCACTGCCACTGCCACTGCCACTGCCCTCCTCCTGGTCGAGTCCTGGTCCTGGTCCTGATCCTGGTCCTGGCCCTGGCCCAGCCCTCTGCTCCTCCCCGCACATCATTAACAACGTCAACATTTGACTTTGTTGACTGCCTGCTGCTGTGTTGGCCAAAAACGGTCGGTCGACGCACGGAAAAAACATTAAACCAATTTTCAGTGCCTATAACGGGGAAGTGGTAGTGGCAACAGGAGGCTGCTGGCTAAAGGAGGTCCTGTCCCACACATTTGTCTATGTCTGCGGCAGCTGCCGGGCTTAGCCCCCCCTCCCCCACCGCGACCCCCTCTACCGAAAACCCAGCGCCAATATTAGAAAAGCCACACGTACACACATATCCGTATGCGGGAACAACATTTAATGGCGAGGAGTCCGCAGTCGGGGTTCCTAATACAACGGCCCACCGGCTGGCTCACAATAACAACCGGCTAACAACACTTAAAATGTGTGTAAAATGCGAGACCACCAGCCAAAACCAACAGCTTCATCGACAAACAATGGGTCAATGATATGGCAAGCCGGAAAGTTACCCAAAAGCCAAGGCCATCAAAAAACCCAACAAATTTTTATGTGTTAGTTTTTTCATTAATTTTGGTCCTTGCTTTTTACACGATCGAGGAATAAAGCGTTTGCTTCTGTGAGAAACTATAAAATTTGTTGTGCACCAAAGAATGAAAATTTGATTCGAAAACACGAAAATATTTTACTATGTTAAGGGACTTCGGTATAAAATTAGAAGTGTTAAAAATGTAGGTTAATCGAGCTCTATTTTCTTAAGTTTCATTTCATTTTGCGACATACATATATATGTTTTTGGATTTAAATCCCGATCAAACAGACTGAGTCTTCTTCTGTTCAAAACTTAAGAGCTAAAACTGATAAATTTAAGATAATTTTTTTTACATTCATATTCGAATTCCGATAATAACTGAACCTAGTTTTTGGTTTGGTTGAGTTTTAAGACAACGTGGTTCTAAAAGAATTATAGAGGGTTTTAGTCAGCTAACAAACGAAATCTTTGAATATAACATTACAATATTGATTTTCTAATTTAGTTAGCAAATCTGTTGTACAATCTAAATTACTATTTATCTTACTTCCTTGAATTTGAAACTCGCAAACAAACAATTATGATCCATATGGAAATGTATTTGCTACCGGCGAAATAGGTTAACTACCAAGGCTGTCTTATCTTTCACACAAGAGTCGGCTCTTGAACATTATGTTTGAATTTAAGTCAGAACTCGTTTCGGGCAACAACAGTGGCCCCCAGCTGAATGTACTACCCGGTCTCAGTTTGCCCAGTAGCTGCTCATTATCAGTCGAAATCTGGGATCCTGCTTTTGTACCTTGGAGGTATTCCGGTCCAGCATGCAGCTTCACCACAAGCACATGCACTCGCATGCACATTTGAGGGCGGATTGCATGTTGGCTTTACTGGAATTGCCGGCTATTCAGTCCGGCCAATTCAAACCGACCCAAACCAAGCCAATTCAACCCATCCCCTCCTAAACCCAATCAATTGAGACGCATTGAAATCTGCGTTTGCCGGACGCATGATTAGATGCAGTTGCCACACACACCCACCAACCAACCTCATAATTGGAGCCTGGAGGGTGTTAGAGCGCCTGGAAATGCTATTAATCAATTTCGTGCTCGTTTCATTCCGTTCCACGGCGAATCGCAGTAACGCCGCCAGATGCCAAGGCGATTATTGCCGGACCGACGGACCTGTACGTCAAGGTGGGCAGCAGCGTAACACTCACATGCCTCGTGAAGCAGCCGGCGACCACAGCGCAGGATATTGGGCCAATCTACTGGTACCGCGGCCCCTACATCCTCACCCCCTTCGTGGCCCATCCGAATGACGCGGCCATCGACTTGCAGCGCATCTCCATGGAGTCCACGCTGGCAGAGAAGCTGCAGAGCAGGTGAGCATTGGGGGGCTGACAATGGGTTTGGATACTTGCACTGGGAAAACCGAACCTTCGCTTTGAAGATTTGAATTGTTCAAACATTTAAGGAAGACTTCTAAATCGTACCTTGCCTTAAATCGCAGATTTCCTTTTGATTCAACTTGATGACAAATTTTATTCATAAAAGGAATAATTACCATTATCTTCAATTAGATTACAATTAGGTAAAGTACAAATCTCTAAGAGTACCAACAAGCTTACCTTTTTATGTAAAATATTATGCTAATGTTTTTTTATATTGGATTTAACGACCTTTAAGTGAATACTTTAATTGAAGTTTAATTGAACTCAAGGTCACTTTGACTATATTTCATTTCTTCTATAACAACCCGTTTTTCCTTAACTTTCATCAAACTTTTGATTTAAATACCCTTAAGAGACGGTCTTATATAGTATGCATACTTTTAAATAGAGACTCCTGTTTTCTACTTTTTGATGATACTGTTTATCTTTTTGAATAAGAGGTTTGAAATTGTTTTTTTTTTTGCATTTTTTAAAGCCTTAACTTAAACAAGAAAAATAAGCGAAATTAAACATTTGTGATTCATTGCTTCACAAAAAAAGAATCAGAGAAAAAATATAACTTTTTGTGGAATTGGAAAACGTAATCCTCATACTACTGATTCAACAGGCAATTGAGCGTAAGCTTTCAAGTGTTGAAATTTTCCCCCAGTTTCCCAGCTGGAATGCTGGGGGAGATTTAACGTGCCATCAGGTGCGAGTTTTTCCAGTTGCTTATTGGCTGGAATGCCGGGCTTTGATCGATGAAGTTGATTTAATCGGGGAGGGGACAAAGTTGACGCAATTAAGCTGCACGTTTGCCTTAAGCTTCTCCGTGCTTTGGTTTCCATGTTTTCCAGATTACGCATTGCCAATGCTCAACTGCTGGACACGGGCAACTATACGTGCATGCCGACCACAGCGGAAGCGGCCAGCGTGGTGGTCAATGTCATCAATGGTAAGAGCGGACCGGACTCAACCGAAGCATCTGATGCAGCCACACTTTCTGTTTGTCTTCCTCGGCTGTCATGTCTTTTTCCTCCACAGATGAGAGCCCCGCAGCGATGCAGAAGAGCAGAGCGGTCCGGACAACAAGTGCAACTAGTCGCGGATGTCGAATGGTGCTCCTGCTGGCCATGGTGGCAAGTTCCGTGGTGCGATGGCTCATCGGTGGCTGCCACATGGACGTCAGCAGCGGCCGCGAGTCCTGCTCGAATTTATCCACTCTGCATATCAATTATAGCCGCCTGCATGCAAAATCAGCCAGACACTTGGAGCAGCATCGATGTCAGGCGTTGTCGCTGGCGGAATCATGATAATTAAGTAGCTGCCGCTCTGAAACATCTTGTATATACAACTGAATTCGTAGTTAAGCATAATTATTTGTGTAAATCCGAGACATGAGAGATGGGAAAACTGTACAATTATGAAATAACTAGTTTATATTACTGCTTCACCCTCCTCCTAGACTTTATTGTTTGGTTATCAAACTTTGGAATGTTTCTGAAACATTTCCACTTTCCGCATTTATTCAGAATTGAAGTGGTTTCCCATCTGGCATACAGTAAACTAAACTATAACTACATTTAATGCTAATTTTTATGCCTAGCGTAAATATTCATAAAACAATGGAAATAAAAAAAAGGTGCCCAAGTAATTATCAAATGTTATCGAAATTACGCCCGATAATAACATACATTAGCGATAACAGACACAAAATGCATTGTATTGTTAATTTCGGAATGCAAATATTATTATTCGGGTGTTTTCTGTTATTGCAATTATCTAATTATATTTGTCACTGTGAAAACACTTGAAAACTAATTCAACTCAACTCTCATTAAAGCGACAGGCGTTGAAAAAACAAATTTAAATTGCGCTATCAGCATTAACACGAAATGGCCACAATTAATTTCGATTCAATTTAGTTATAGATATACGAACAATTTGTAACCATATATATCGAATTTCTCAATGAGAAACAATAAAATGTATTTTGTTGAAATAAAAACTTGATTTTAACCACCTTTACTGTACTCACATGCCTGTTTTTTTATATGTATCGATTTTCCATCACATTAATTAAATTTCTCTGCCACCAGAGTTGTGTAATTATGTAAGTAAAGGTTACTCGAAAATGCCCTTTGTCGAATCATTACATAGTTAAATGCTCGATAATGTGCGTGGACCTAATTTAATTTCGATTAATTCGTGCCTTGACATGAAAATACGGAAAGTCTAATCCACGCAGTGCCAGCTAAAGCATTTCGAATTAAGCGGATCTCGATAAGCCGGCGCCACGCGTCGTCGATTCCCAGCCGCAGTTCCAGGCACACCGCGGCGTATACTTAATTTCGAACTTTGACCTCACCTGCTCCACTTGACTGCCTGCCTGGCGTTCCTGGAAAAAAGGCTATCCACACCGCTGTAAGGGAGCAAGGGTTCGTTGGGTTGGTTGGGTTGACTGGGGTCACGTTGGTCAACAACAATACGTTACGCTTTCTAATTTGCTGCGCCAGCCACACGGGGCGTATGCGCGATTATCAGCTACCGCAGGGAGTGTGTGCTGTGCTGTGAGTGCGCATAATTACGCGCAGTTGAGTCGCTTAAATGAAATCATAAATTATCCGCACACGCTCGCCGGCCTTTCACTTAATTGTGTGCAAATATTTTCCAGACGAACGCAATTCGCACTGATTGATACATGTTTCAGCTGACTTTGCTGGTAATTTGAAAGCGGTTTGGCACACTGACAAATGGTGTACTTAATATCATTACGCGGAATTTAAATCAGCGAGCTTGTATTTTAATAAAACGCAACTGGATGGAAGTGATGCAAATGCAAACTAGTTTCAGGTAAATATAATTAATTCAAAACCCTATTTTCCATCTAATTTTGCCACTTTTAAATGTGTGCGCGACTTTCATTAGCCATCCCAATGTTTTCCCAGTTATTTTCGAGAGAATTTAAAACGAAAGCCAAATAAAGTTTATAGTTAATTTAGCTCGGCACTCCGTGAGCGGCTGCAATTAAAATCTGAAAATAGTTTCGTCGCAACTTAAATTGTAGTCGTTGTTGCCTCTGCACTCCTGTTGTCGTTGTCATATTTTGTAAACTGTCGGGGTAACTCGGGCAAATAAATTGAACCATTAGCACGACAAGTCAAAAAGTTTCCCAGCTCGACGTGGAGTCCAGTAGTCGATTTGGATTCTTTTTCCGCTGCCATTGTTGTTTACTTGCGGAGAAATAACCGCAGGGCCGCAATAAACGAGACAGAAGCGACGAAAAAGTCCAACTCGTCACCTGTCTGCCCGTCGGGCCCAGCTCCTTGTTCCCTGCTCCCCGCTCCATGCCCCCTGCTTCCTGACCCTTCCTCTTTGCTGTTTCGTCCTGCTGTCATCAAAGAAAAACATTTATGCAATCCGGAACGTCAGTAGTGACGGGAAGAAAGAAGGGCACGGCTTTATGTGCGGGCGTTTCTCAACTTTAATTGTGTTCGGTTGTATGCGAAACTAAATTTTCATATTGTAATTTTGGCAGACAAAAGTCAAACGGGCCAAAAACGGCAGCTCATAAAAAGTTTTATCGTTTTAAAGTTCTCGGAGCAATTACACTGCAAAAGTTAATTAAGCACCGCAAGCAAATAGACGGAGGAAAGGGAGTTGTAGGTAAGTCACTTTTGAGCATAATTTCATTTGCGCAAAGGAGCGTGCCGGTGGAACATCCTTCTTTGCAATTCGACCCTGCTGCATGCGTGCAAATGGGTCTGAGATACAAATCATTACGTTGTGTGAGTTCCAGTTAAGTTGGATACGAACCGCACTGTGGAACTGGGAGGTAACTTTTGGGGCGAAATCATATCAGGGGCTTTGGAAAAATATATATTTCGAAATCCTACAGGGGGCTAAAACCAATTGGGAATTATAAACGCTAAGTAACGCTCAAATAAAATTTAAATGCAAGGAGCACAAGTACACAACAACAATTTTAATTTAGAGGATCTTAAGTAAGAGTAACTATTTTTTAAATAGTCAAACATACAATAACAAAATACTTGTTCTATTCGGTACTATATTTAATTCTTAATTGGTTAATTGGAGCAAGCCTATTTTTTTGTGTGCAGGTTATTCACGTACATAGGGCTAGTCACAATACTATAATCTTAAGGTAAAAAAGAGCTGAATTTGATTTTCTAACACTAAGATATTAAAATATTTCGTACTTTTGCTCATCAAATTAAATTCGATTTAAAAAAACGATTATATTTTGTGAAACTACTCATGAATGATTGCAACTTGGTATGCTAAATTTGTAGGTAATAATAAAATGTATCTGTCCATGAAAAGTATTTACCAACCCACAGTCCACCATCTCTAAGCATGCATCTGGGCCATAAAAGTACCCCATTGTGTATGCCAGGAAATTTTGCATAACAAGGCACTTATTAAAAAGCATTATTAACTTGATAAAAATAAATTACATGCCAAAAAACTGCCATCTATTAACAATAATGTTTGCTGACCCCGTGCAGCCAGTAGTGTCTTCCCAACTGGCCCACACTATCGCATAAATAAATGGGAAAACCACTGACGTTGGCACTTGCCTGGAAAACCACAGAAGTGGTGGGCGGAAACCCCCCAAATTACTTGGCGATGTGGTACCCACCTTCGACGGACCGAAATGCAAAAGCCTGTACGATTTAATCTAATCTGCGTCCAATGAAATAAATTCATCCCATTTGCGGGATGGGACTAACAACCCAGTTGCTGTTATTGTTCTTGTTTGGCATGTTTGCGCCGGTTTCTGTTTAACTTTTACCACTAATTAAGTGCTTACACGAAAGATTTCAAAGCAAAAAGGGACACAATGCCGGAATGGCCAGAACACACAATGTAAACGAAAATTGAAAACGAAGGCGGAAACAGCCGGCATCGGCTGGAGTTCTGGCCTGGCCTGGCTCAAAGTCCAAGTTTTGGTCCCTGCCTGAAAAAAAGTGTCGGCGTTTAATTATAAATTTACACGTTCAACCACTGAAAAAGAGCAACTCATGCTAAAAAGGGTAAACACATCACCAGCAAGGCCACACACACTGTCTTACGTACATTCTGTATTTTGAGATCTGCTCTTGAGTTGAGGACCAAATGGCGGGCTTAAAAGCAGAAGACTTGGTAGAAATTAGTGGTACCTAGTATGTAATGTTTGAAAAATAATTTTAATCGCCATAAAGCTAAAATTAAGGGGATTTAAAATCGATTTGTTTAAGATTTTTTAAAAAATTAGCTTAACACATAACGTCTAATTCTCATTAAAAAATTTTACAATTAGAGAAAAGGTTAAAACATTGCATGTGCTTTTAAAAAGAAGAAACTCTGATGATTTTTTAAAGGATTAGTTTAGTTAGTTTTATTACAAAAATAATTTGAAGTCTCCAGTAACATCAATTACTATTTTTACTAAAGAAAATCTAATTCAAATATTAAGATTATCCTTCGACTTTGACTTGAATGTAGTGGATATCGCATGGCCCAAAGCCTCTTTAGCTGTTTTTTACTTATGTTTGCCTATTTGGTGCGGCTGGGTCAGTCAGCATTCATGTATGGGCAAATACATAAATATACCTATTTACGAACTTATATTCCCACTTGTTTGCGCTTCGGCCTGTCTATATTTACCAGCTTGTGGGCGTTTTAGCCACGCACCTTGGTAAATAAATTTGTTAAAGCGAGGGGACCCGCATGGAAAATTAAATATGTTTTACCAAACAGAGAAAAGGGTGTTGAGCCCCTAAGTAGGGTGGTCAATTTCATGGCATTTAATATTCATTCACTTAAATAAAACATTTTGTACACAATATTCATTTACTGTAAGTGGGGTATAAGGCCAATATGCAGTGTGTGTGTAAAATGATTAATATGTGTGTATTGCAAGATGGTCATGATCTTTGAAATTACATTCGAGACCGATGGTATAAAGCTTAAGTTAAAATAGTGAGGCGTTCCTCTAACTGTCATTTAGTTTAAGAACCACTATTATATTAAGCACTCGACATTTCCTTTCTCTCAACAATATGGCATCGAATTTTCAGTAAGGAAGCTGAAATGGGAGGCCAAACTAATTATGCTTTTAAACGAATTGTGCTCAAATTGCATTATGAGACGCAGGCGCGTGTTGACATTTTCACTATTAACAATGGCCATCGTTATGGGGATGTTGTTTTCGAGCTCATTTCCTTTGTTATTACAATTACTATTTAACGCATGGATCTGGGGCTCAAAAGTGCACTCTTTAAATGATATTATTTCCGGCGGAAATTAAGATTCAACGTTGTGTGGGTGCCATAATTCCCGCCGAATATACATATGTGTATATATGTGCAAGGACATGCGATGCATGGCTTTAATGTCTGATGCCAATCAGACCACGGTCCTTTATTCATCTGAGGCGATTGACTGTCGGGCGAACTTTTGTCGATGGGAAGTGAAAAATCATCTCCGCACCCAGCTGCACCCAGTGGCACCCAGTTGCAGTGGCAATATGACAAGTAAGGGACTCAAAACTCAAATGATAAATGACGCCTCCCCGGGCGCACAATGGGCGAAAGAGAAACAAATGTGCGGCAAGATGCGGATAAGTCGACATCGACGATGATGTTGATGACGCGCACATTGTCGCCCCGTGGCTTCTGCATGATGAAGCGAATGAATGAAGATTTATGGGGCATTAGACATATGCATGTGAGTGTCGGCGTATTACTACTATCTGGCTGCGATTGCCACTGGGCGCACTGCAGCTCGCTCATCTTCCGTGAAAATAATTGCAGTAATTTGCAGGGAGTAATTATGGCCCATCATTAGTTCTTGCTCTATTTTTGCCACGCAGAGTTGAGCATGAATGCTCGTAATAAATTAAACTCGGCTGGTTTTCATGATTCAAAAGAGTCAATCAGGAATTTTCATTTTATAGACCTTAAGTCCGATTTGATTTGAGAACATGCACGGGTTACACAATTCGAGCGGCTCATTAATAGTTAAGTATTCTTTGAATAACAAATGTAGTTTTAATTTCTGTCTTAATCAGACTTGAAGAACTCATAATTGTACAGAAACAACAAGTTTTATTTTATGTATTACCCGTGGAATAAAAATGTACATATGTGTTTTAAATTCAATAGTAGATGTAGATATATATACATATATGTATATCTATGTCTCGATGGAAAATCTACCAAATCGAATAAATATTTTAGTAGTTTCCACATTTTTTTTATTTATTTGCTGAACACGTCAAACAAGGATGGACCTTGTTTTCGTGCATTGTCAAATGAATTCTCAAGATTCCAAAAAGGCGGACAGCGGTACATCCGCTTTAAAGTGTTAAGTTTAACATGGTCAATACCGTCAGCGGTAGATAAATATATATTTATATATTCTGTTTGCGCCATCTGTTGGAGGAATATATATTTTTCATTGGTTAACACAGGAACGACTACAACATTTCTTCTTGTTTTATGTACATCTTTCGTTTTTGAGTTTAATGGCCAAATCGAACATACACTATTATTCCTACTTCACCTGTTATTATACCCGTTACTCGTAGAGTAAAAGGGTATATTGTATTCGTGCAAAAGTATGTAACAGCTAGAAGGAAGCGTTTCCGACCCTATAAAGTATATATATTCTTGATCAGGGTCACTAGTCGAGTCGATATAGCCATGTCCGTCTGTCCGTCTGTCTGTCCGTCTGTCTGTCTGTCTGTCCGTATGAACGCTGAGATCTCGAAAACTATAAAAGCTAGAAGATTGGCATTTTGCATGCAGATTCTAGGAGTTCCTACGCAGCGCAAGTTTGTTTCAAAAAGGTGCCACGCCCCCTTTAACGCCCACAATCGCTTATATACGATTTTAAAAATTTAAATATTTCGGAAAAGTAAAAATGCAGTTTTATTGTGTTTATCAATACCTATCGAAATGAAGAAGAAATTTTTCAAATCGGACCATTCGTTAAAAAGTTATGCGTGATCAAAGTTTCTATCTCCACCTCCCTCGCACTCCCTTTACCTGAGTAACGGGTATCTGATAGTCGGGGCACCCGACTATAGCGTTCTCTCTTGTTTTTAGTTAAAAAGTGGTATCCGCTTTTATGAAACGTATGAAGATTTGAATTTTCATCTAAAACAAGAAAGGAATCAAACTTAGCAGGCCTAAGTTTATATCGATACCGATTCGGCTCGTTCCGTCTTATATACTATATACTATAGATGTTCTGTTAATTTCCAATTCTACAAAAGTGAGTCGTTATTTGGTAATTGTAGGATTTCGAAATTCGTTCGTTGCTGATACCTGTTTTAACCTAAATAAATATGTAGCTGATATCCTGGTCTGTGCACATCTGCATGTGATAACGGGTCATAAACCATATGCACCCAGCCGACTGACGTGTCTTCACACCATCTGTCATAATCCTTGGGAAACTTTGACCCGACCATCTGGTAGATGTTATTGCTTATTTAGGCTATTATTGCTGTAAACTGATAATAAACCATGTTGTCCATTTTTACCTAGACCTAAGTAGATTTTGGTAGAAATCTTGCACCAATCTTTGTACCTTTGCGACCCCTTCGTTATCAGGCGCCTATATAACTGTCCTTTTCTGTTGCGGAACAGTCAGTTTTTCGACAACAATGGAAGGAATAGTGTGGGTTTGCTGTCTACTTGCGGCTGGATCTACAATAGTTAGTTGCGCCGCTATCAACCCAAATGACGCGATTCTAAATTACTTACAAAACCGCATGAATTTGAGTGCCGATCCTTGTGAGGATTTCCAGAATTTTGCAACTGGCCAGTTCGTAAAAAAGCATGAGCAAGATGATTGCTATTCTACCCAGTGCGCTATCAACCACAGATTCCATGGTAAGCTTCGGAACCTGTTCGACCAGCTCAAGGACCGAGTCTTCATCGACGAAATTTCTGTGGAGGAGAAGGTGTGGCGTTACTACAACACCTGCCTCACGGCCCCCCAGAGCACTCGGTCGGCAAGGCACTACTTGGAGCTGGTTTCACCGGGTGGGAATTTGACCTGGCCGTCATTCGTTCCCCAAGGAAGTCAGTGGCCCAAGCAAGAGTTCCAGTGGCTGGAGTCCTTGGCAATCTTGCGACGTTATGGACTGGTGGACCCTTTGATCAGGTTAATAATAAAGCCGAGTTTGACGGACAGTAACAAGTTCCGCTTAGGGCTTTTCGTTCCGCTAACCGAACAATTAATTGATGTTTCTGAAGTAAAGGACCTGTTGACCAGCATCGGAGTCAGCTCAATCCGGGCAGGTCCACTGGCAAGGAGCATAATACAACTGGACTCTGATGCTCATAACCTGACCAAACTAGGAGATGATTTGGTATATGAATACACCCTTGAAGACGTTCAGAATCGTACGAATCTACAGGTGGACAAGTACCTGCAGATTGTCTTTGGCCGCTCCTTTGATCCCAGTTTCGAAGTGGAGGTGGATAATATAGAATACCTGGAAGGTATCAACGGGGTCGTAAGCAAGTACGACTCTGAAGTGGTGGCCAGTTACCTGATGATCCGGTTTCTTCGCTTTGTACTTTCCTTGGAAGGCAGTGGTTCAGAGAGCGATCCCGCCAAATGCGCAGTTGCCGTCGCATCTCAAATGGAACTAGCCAGCGATCTGCTGTACGAGAACCATTACCTGGGACACGGAAAGCTACAGAAGTACACCAAAGAAGCTCAGCGGATCTTCGAAGCTGTTAGCCATACTTTTATGACCAGGTTGGAGGAGAACCACCTGCACCTGGCCGACAATGAAACCGATGCTCTGCAGCGAAAGCTGCTCGCCATGACCGTGACAGTGGGCAAAGTGCCTAACAATGTTAACCATCGTCGCTTCGTCGCCAATTTCTACGAAGATCTGGAACTGGAAACAGATCCGGATTTCGCTAGGGCTCAGCTTGAAGTACTGAAGCACCGATCGCGCCGAGTTCTAGAGCAATTAAATGGGCCTGTCCCCAAGGGAAGTGGCTACTTTCTGCTCACCGATGAACTTCCGGGAGATGACCCTACTCCAGATTTCGACCTTAGTGGCAACACCATCGTCTTGCCATATGCTATGCTGCAGTACCCGTACTTTGTGCCTGAAAGTCATGACGTTTTCAAGATGAGCCTGTATGGATACTTACTAACTGGCGAAATGATGAAATTCTTTATGCCCACCAACATAATGTATGACAGCCAAGGAAACTTTGTAGAAGGCCAAGACATTTTCGATGAAAACGAGAAATATATCGACGATATCGACTGTTTAAATAAAACTCACTCAAATGACCTAGATAAGCGAGCGATTGATGTGGAGAGCCTAAGACTAATCTACGATGCCTACTTCGGACCCCACTCCGAGTTCGAGAATCAAACTGAATTCACCAAAACACCGATAAAGAAGCTGTTCCTTCTCGGCATCGCCCATCATTTCGTGGGAAGAGATGAGGATTTGGATTACGGTAAAGTTGACTCTGACACATTGCGACTGGAGCAAGCGGTGAAAAATCTTCCGGCTTTTGGGGAGATCTTCAACTGCTCGACCTCCACTCGGCTGAATCCGGAAGAAAAGTGCCATCTCTGGTAACAAAAATATGGGACAGCACAGTTGAAATAATCAAATTCAATGTTATTTAGTAACTGCAAGGGTATACAAATAAACTAAAAGCCATTATTTTTTTATTAAGAAATTATGTAAAATGATTTTACAATAAAAAATTAATATAAATATGTCTATTTTTTCTTCGCTTAGAAAGCCTTGTCGTTCGTATACCAGAATTATAATAAAGTCCATTTAGCTTGTTTTAAATCGAAATAGAATGACATTCGTGAAAAACCTGAACATACCTTTTTGCAATTTTTACACAGATTCAACCATGGCTTTCATTTAAATTAAGCAAACAAAGGCCTCAGGCCACCTCAGTGACAGAAATGAAAGGCATAATTGAATTTTTCTGTTGAGAATTTTTTAATTTCAGCAGCTACCCACATCAACAATATAGCGAACCAGCAGGTGGGCTCTTTGGCATCCATTCACAGCCCTTTGTGTCTGTTTTGGCCCTAATGGAGTTGTTTTCGGGCCAGGATCGATGTTTTGGCACATGGTTGGGCCATTACCGAGGCTCAACCGTGATGTACAAACATCATTAGCAGGGGCAAGGCGCCTTAAAGGTCGGGCTTAACCTTGTCATCTGATTTAATAGTAAAACTAATTAATAAAAGTTGCGAAAATCGTTGTTTAAAAGCTAGATACCGAGTGCCCAGAGAATATTGGGGTGCTACGCACAGCTGGAAATCGCTTCATTATAGGGCTTAAAAAAGTTTTTAAATTTACTTAAATGCTTAAGTACGCTTTGGGCCTCCAACTGCACTTACTTTCAATGGCTGCCAGACTTCACTTAAGCTGCAAACGGTGTGTAAAAAATAGTTACCTTAATCCCCTGCGTAATTCCGAATGAATTTCAAGCTGGGATTTGCCTACCTTACGGCGTACCTTTCAGCAGAAGGGGGATTATTTATTTAACGTCAATCAAAATAAGAAATGAATTTCAAATTCCTCAAGTTCAGAATATGTTTGAATGGTAAAACTACTTTTTCCCTCTCGCTTATTGCCTTTTCACAGGCAAAGTGCCATTTCAGATGTCCAATTTGCACTTGCATTTAACACAGACAATTTGTTTATATAGCCTGACTGGGGGAGGCAAAAAAAAAGGGAAATGGGCGCGTAAATATGACAACCTCGAACCGACAGTAACCATCATATAGATAGCGTAAAAGTTACTTCCTCAGTCACGATATTAAATAATAAAACGGAGAAATTTACACTCGATTGCATGCATCATTCGAGGTCGATTCTGCACCGGGAAAATGGCGAAGGGACGAGGACCCAGTACCGGGCATTCATTTCGCCGAATGCAATTTCAACCAAAAGAATGACGAAGTCAAAAAAATTGAGGTGGCGATAATGAAAGGGGCGAACAAAGAAAAAAGTGGCTAACAAGCAATTGAAAGGGGCTAAAAACAAACGAAAACTTTGTGCAAAATTAAAGAGTGGAAAGGGGGAACGGGGAATGGTATATTAAAGGGGATTTCACTTTGGGGTCATGAAAAAAATTTGATTAAAATTCTGTACGCCTAAAAAATGGTAATGGATGAAATAATTTGTAGAAGCACTAGGCTGCAAATTAACCGAAATTACAATTACTTACGTTTTTACGGTTTTTTAAATAAAATACCTTACAGGGGGAAGGGATATGTACATGTTTTATTTTTTATTCCCATTGTATTATTCGATGGTAATTTAATATTTGTATATATTTTCATGTCAATAGAATTGTAGTCTTTCTACTAAAATTTGATAATTTTTGAGAATGAAAATTATTACTTGTTGAAAATGCTAACTCAATTATACTTTTATTCTCAAATAGGTCTGATGAAAAGTGAACAATATCGTAGCGTGGTGTAACATAATAAATATATTGTGAGAGCTGTCCGCAGAAATAGATAAATTACATATTGAAAATTAATAAAATGAATCAAATTTGTAGTCACGCAGAAAATTTATGAGGAGAAAAAATGTGCGTTTTACAAATGTTATGCTGATACAAGCACAATATTGCATTGGTAATAATAATATGGTACACCAATTTGGGCTAAACAGATTGCTGGGATTTGGTAAGTGACTTATTTAAAAGGCTTGAAACCAATTGATAAAATTAAACCTAAAACTGGAACGGCACTGAATGACTTTCAGGGGCCATTTTTCCAGCCGTAATCGATATAGCAAGGTAAAGAATTCAGGAATGCGAACAATCATCAACAGCTGGCCAACTGGTCAAATGCACAACCAGAGTGTCCAAAGAACTTCCCATAAGCTCAGTTGCCTGCTAGTTGTCGCCATGAAAGCGTCCACGAGAACCGCATTTGGATGGATGGTATTCCTGCCTCTCGTCCTGATGCAGCAGGATACTCAAACAGCCAACTGGTCGGCTCAAATCGAACTGGAGCTTCAGGAACAGCCAGACAAGTTGGCCTATTGCCGTTCGCTCCAGCAGCAGAAACTTCGTATATCGCTCGGAAACACTGGATGTGCCTCTATTTTGAACAACCAGCTCGCTCTGACAGGTGAAATGCTACTCGAGACTCAACAGCGATGCTGGTCCGGATGGGAGCTCTTTGCAGGACGGTGCCGCAAGTTAGCCTGAATCCAAAGACTTTAAGGTGTGCATACAGAGTAATAGGTAAAATTTCCAACTAAAATAAAGAACACAATGGCAAATTGCTCAGAGCTCCCAGATTTTTGACTTGATTTCAGCCTCTCTGCCATAAAACTCAAGCATCCATCATATATTCGTATGGTAACCGTAATCAAGAAATGGTTCGTTATGTGTATATACGTCATGTTGGCTTGTCAGCCCGCCTTAGGCAAATAACAACAATAGCCGACGGATGAAGCTGAAAGAGCCTTGTCGGCCATTTTTGTTTATCAACCTTCCGTATGGAAAAAATTCCAAAGGAGTCAATCAACTTCCGCTTTGGCGTTGCCTTTTTTTTTGGCTGTTTGGCCAGTTAGTCTATGGATTCTTTCCTTTAGTGTTCCACATGGTTGCCATCGCCACTAAAACGCCAAAACACCGAGTGTCAATCCGAAAACCCGTAACGGAATGTTGGCGCCCGTAAATACGCCGTGTTATGAGTGGTTTCGTTATGCTGAAAAGATGGGAATTTAATACCTGGCGATAGCGTACATGACAGCGGGATATAACACCACCATTTCATCGAATTATCGGTGATAACAAATATATTATTTCACCGTGTGTTCATTTGTGTAAGGCTGTCAGCCTCGGCCATTGCACAATTCTTCATGAAAATTACTTTGGAAAAAATTGTATCAAAGGTGTCCATTTAATTAAAATTATATGAATAAGTGTGAAAGAGTTCAAGGAAATTTTGAGAAAACAATAATTGTTAATTAACGTATTTTAATATTATTCGCTATTAACTATTTTATCTAGAATTTATAAATTACAAGAAAGGAAGCAAACTTTGGCCAGCTTAAGCATGTATACCCTTGCAGCTGTTACAAAAATTAAATATTCTATATTTGAAGATTTTCCGATCGTTCCTGATGCTGATCAAGAATATACATATATACCTTATAGCGTTGCAAGCTTTTGACATTAAAATACCCTTTGTAAGGGTATAAAAATCAATTGTTCAGTGAGTTTTTCTTTCAAATTTTTTAATTAATGGGCAAAATTGGGCTGATTTTCCAAATAATCTTTGTTAAGGTAAACCTCATTACTATGAACAATTTTAACTCAATTTTCCTCATTTTATATTTTTAAGATGTTATTATAATTTAATAAACTAAGGGAAATGTAAAGAGAACATTTTTAAGATGAGGTTTGGTTATGTTTGGGAAATTAATAATTAAATGAACTGCTTTATAAAGTACTCGGAGAAAACTAGTAGAACGCTGTTAATAAATTGATTTGCTCGGTTCTTTTTAAATTCAATTAAATTGAAATATTCTCTTTATACAAGTAAAATCCCTATATGCTAGGTACGAAGAATAGTAATGACAGTTGGTTGACTTACGTTAAGAATGCTCAAACATTTGATTCAATGCTATCTGCAGGGACATCCCACTTTCGCCCAACTGGCAAACTTTAAGCCGCTTCCACGGCGAAAGGACTGCGACTCCTGTTCAGGCACTAACGAAGCAGAACGGCGAATAGTTACGCAAAATTGCCGACGACCGCGGGTTGTTACGCGCCACGTGGTCCCACAAAGTTGCAGTTGCCACCGGAGTCGACCCACAATGCAATGCGTCTCAGTCGCAGTGTCTTTTATTTTCCACCGCACTGCCGACGAAAGTTTTTATTGGCCAAATTCCCTGCTGCTGTTCGCGTTGCAGTTTTCAGTCAGTGAACAAATCTTGACCTACTACGTGAGTTAACTTGGCTATTACCAAAAAAACTTTGCCAATAAAAAGTCCAACGATTAGCTAAATATTTATCAAGCTATCAGCAAAAGTTAAGATACCTAAATATTTGTATTATTTCAAAACTAACTTTCAAGAAGAATAATAAGGACAAAGTCTAGGTGATATTTGTGATATTTATGTATAAAAGCATAGCAAGCATTCCAACGTCAATCAATAGAGCTCTCTTAAACAAAATTTAGCTTCCGAGAAACTTTACTTTAAAATATGGCCGCGTAAGTATACTAAAAATAGCAAAAGAAGAAAAAACCAAAATGTATTCCTATCCACAAGTACTCAAGATTACAAACCTGGTGATGTTCCCTTGGAGGAGCAAGATGATCGAAGACTTTTCTGTAAATTTCATTATAAGGGTGTTCTCCTTCTGCTCATACCTATATTACTGGGGCCCATTTTAGCTGGAGATCCACTGTTGGTAAGACTATCAGAACCCATTATAAAAACAACACTAAATTCATCTTCCATTCGTATTCGTGCAGGTTTGTCGCTTCATATATATATCACTTTGTTTGTACTTGATCTACATCCTCAACTTGATGGCCAGAGGAGCTATAGCCTTTCTCTACATCACATTCATACCCATTGCGGGAATAGCTGGTTCAGGCCAGGTCAGTACGTCCTACTACACGGATCTGATATTCTTGGTGTTTGGCGCTATTTTCATGGGCGTCATGATGGACAGTTCGGGGCTCAGTGAACGGCTGGGGATGTGTGTTATCGGCATTGTGGGTGGCAGTCTGAGATTGTAAGTTAAGTGGTTGTAAGTGGTGAAATTTGATTATTAAGAATATGTATTCCGTAGTCTACAGATTTTTTTAACGCTCGGCGTGTTTCTGCTCGCCTACCTCGTGAATCCCACGATGGCGGCTGCATTTTGGATGAAGGTGTCCCAAGCTGTGATTACGGAATATGATAATGTATGTATTGGTTCCATAATGACTGGAACTCTGATTATGTTCAAAACCTTTTTATAAAAGATACAATTTTGTCCTTAATTTCCTACAGTTAAACACAGAAAAATATATGATTGTAAAACAACCAATTTCATAGTTAAAATGCTTAAAAATGTAATATTACTGTTGTCACAGTAAAATGAATCCTTTTTTAATGTAATTACCAAGTTGTTCCCCAGCTGTTTGAAAGAGTCAGTACACTTGTGTGTGAGTCTGTGAAGTCTTTATTTGCTAGCCTTGATGAAAATTGCTTAAAAGGCAATTGGTAATAATAATTATAATAAGTCTAATCTAATTATGCTTTTAAGAAATTAAATTTTAATCAAAGCTTCCTTAAAATCAAATGTTTAGAATCAGTTGTTGCATATAATCCGATTGCTAATTGTAACTATTCCATGATTCATAATCAATTCCTTTTTTCAGGCTGGCATCGTGAGAATGTACTCTGAGGAAAGGCCCTACGAGCCGGGATCGTGAGTATTATGCCATAGTGTAACGATTAAAACTAATATCATTATCTGCAGAAACCCATATCCGACTCGTTCAGCGATCGGAATCTATATAACTTGTTGCTACGCCGCCACACTGGCAGGCAGTCTTTCCCCCTTCGTGAATCCCAATGGTGTCATCTGCGATGGTTTCACTGAGTAATTATGGTTCAATCACTACTAAGAAGGGAAGTACGATCCTGTTTCTTCCCAGAGATCTGAGTATTGAGCACTTGATGCTGCTCATGCTGGCACCGACTCTATTGGGGCTTTGTGTAATGATTTTTTGGATACAAATCCTCTTCCTCGGACTTTTCGGTGGCTTTGATAGGCGTAACCAGCCTGAACTGGAGGGCAATAGGGCGGGTTTCAGACAGACCATGGCCGACAAGAGACAGGCGATGGGGCCCTGGACAACCTATCCCATACTGGTCTTCGTCCTGATCCTCATTACCTTCGTACTGACGGCCACTCGACGACCGCGGGTCTACAGTGGCTGGGATCACATAGAGCCCGGCATTGAGTCTGGTCTCTCGGTGCCGGCCATTGGCATGGCCATCCTGTTCTTTGCCATCCCGGCCAACTACTTCTTCTGCAGGTACTACGTCTGCCGGACGCCGCAGAAGGAGGGCACCAGCCCCTCGCTCCTCGCCTGGAAGGCGGTGAACACCAACACGCCCTGGGCCGACCTCTTCATGCTGGGCGCCGCCTTCAGCTGCGTCTTCTGTGCCCAGAAATGCGGCATGAACGAAGCCATAGCTGGGGCCATGACCGATCCGGAAGGCGGAACAGGACCTCTCCAATTCGTCTGCGGCGCCCTGTATGGCACTCTGCTGACCAGCCTGTCACCGGCCACCGCCATCGCCAAGATCGCACTGCCCACCATGGCGAAAGCGGTGAGTGATTATTCCACATAGAAATATATAAAGAATACGGTTTACCAAATTGTACCTTTACATATTTTCATCAACTAAAATATACTTTCCTAGAACTTACCTACATTTAATACACCGATATCTATAAGAGAAGTGTACCATATCTTATGTACAACAATATTCTGAATCTTGCATTTTTCCGTAAACCATGATAGCCTTAACCAATTTTGTGACGAAATAATATTACGAAAATAAAATATTATTTCCAACCTATCTAATGATATACACAACGGCAATTTTGGAATTATATCCAGATTTTAAAAACACCTATACGAATATTATTGATATAATGTTAAAAAGAAATGACTAATTTAATTGATTAGTTCAAATGCATGCCCAATTTCAATCAGTCATAAATTCTACAATATTATCTTTCAAATCATAGAAGCTTATTAATATTATAGTGAAACCGTAAACATTGTAAACAAAATAACGCTCATAAAATTACTTAAACTATTTCTGTAATGATATTTAAATTTGATTTCATTGTTAGTGAACTGTAAGAGTAAGAAACTATTATTATAAAAGAAGCGTCTCTAAATTTAATCGCTGTTATAAATATATAAATATTGTTCTTAAAGGTCGGCGTTTACCGTCTTCTAAATATATTTTTAATCACAGGGAGGTAACTTTGCCCTGCCGTTCGCCACCGCGTTGCACAATCAGTATTTGCTGCCCGTTAGTGCCCCGTCGAACACCATTGTTGCGGGTTGGGGCAACATAAGACCTTACCAATTCGTAAGTATTTTAAAGTTGACAAATAAAACTAACACTCATCCGCTTTTGCAGTTAATGGCTGGAAGTGTCTTGGCGATATTCATGTTCTTGACAATTGCTGGCTTCACCGCGCTGCTCGGCAGCACCGCACTACCAAATGGTTTTCCCTGATTTAATCGTTTTCAGTTCTCAATAGCCCCCAAAATGTCTGTTTTGATTTCGACCGCATTTAATAAAATTACCCAGTAAGCTTAACTGCATTGCAGTGTCTAACACTGTCTTGTTGACACTTTTGGGCACACACAATAGCAGCAGAAACTGGACTGGGATTGTTCTGCCACAGCTGCTCAACGGACATCCATATCCATCTCTAGGAAAAGCAAAACAAAATACAGCTGTCGCAGTCGTTTTGGGAAATAAAAAGAAAAAGGAATCTTACAGCAAACCAAATCAATGCAGAACCTTCGGGAACAGGTGCATAAAGTTTTTGACTCTGACTTTAAGAAACAAAATTGGAATTCACTTATAGCGCAAAACAATAAGTGGCAGAAAACTTTAAATTACCAAAAAAGTGCCAATATAAATCAATAACTAAAATAAAAGGTAACTTGATTGTATTATTGTAATTTGAGAAACTCTGTTTATTAAACCTTACAGAAAAACAAGAAAATAAGCTAACTTCGGTAAGCCGATGTTTATATACCCTTGCAGTTATTACAAATCGACTACATTATGATTTCTATGCCTATATTACTAAAAACAATAAAGCTATGCATTTTGCCATCGTTTCTATGGCAGCTATATGATATTGTTGCCTGAAAAAAATACCTTAAAGACTCTTAATTTGATTCTCAAAAAATTTGCATCAAAATTTCGTGTTATTTATTTCCAAGTTTCCGATGTTTTGTTAAAAGGTGGCCCATAACTTGACTTTTGAAGTCCATAACATTAACAAATGTTATCCGAAAGTGGCATACCTCTTAAGACTCGTAATTTGATTCATTCTTCCTGGTGATGCTGATCAGGAATATATATACTTTATAGGGTAGAAAATGTCTCTTTCACTGCGTTGCAAACTTTTGACTGAAATTTTAATACCCTCTGCAAGGGATTAAAAAGGCAACTGTATGTAATAATGTACAATGATATTTTCTTTTCAGCAAATCCAACAGAACAAAAAAAGAGGTGCCAAATTAAACGCCATATTAAAGAGTAGAACGTGGAGCAGCGCTTTTAAGCAAATTACACAGTTTCGCATTTAGGGTAATCCCCGCCTGGTCATTCGCACCTAATTCACATTGCTCTAATCCAAACATGGCCCACACAAGTGTTGGCACTAAATAATTCAGATGTTAATTTAGACGTGGACCGTGGGCATGTATCTCGCTAGCAAACTCTTTCCGGCTGAATACCTTTTGGTTTGGGGGCCAACCAGCTCCTCTCCTGCTAAAGTACATTAGCGGCTGGAGGTCCTGGCGTCACCAGCTTTGGAACACATTTCTATTCAAACTATTTATTTATTAATTTCGTGGCGTACGGCTAGTAAATATTCATAACACTCCCGACAATTCAAAATTGCGCATTTAATTGATTTGGCCAAGGCTAACGACCGGTTAAGTCGAAAAGCTTTTAAATAAAAATAAATTAGATCTCAGGTCCATTTTGTATTTTAATGTATTGGGTTCCTTTTTTATCCAAAACTTTAATTGCATAATACATTTTTAATGCAATCATAATATATACTAAGAAACAGCTGAATATTTAGTCTTACTTATTTAAATAATGCTTTTCAATTTGTTATAAAAATCCCATGGGCTTTTATGCTTCTTAGTCAAATGCGAAAATTTCAACTTAAAGTCATTGTGAACCCAACAACCGCACAAATTATGTATATATATTCAAATATCATGCACGCCTTAAGCTGATTTTCCACGCTGGCAAATTCCAAGCTTACCGGCATTTCCTCATTCCCAAATCCCGGCTCATTATCCTTCTTGACATCTGCCCAGGTTTCGCGAACAAATTGAAAAAAAAGTGATTCCCTGTTTTGCATCTATGAAATCCCATTTCCTCTTAGAGTTTTATCCCCATTGCTCCCTTTTTTTTAGGAATATATATCGTAAGACTTAGGGTTACATTACAAATTAGGCACATCTGAAGCAAGGTTCAGGCAGGGAATGATGTTTATAAAATATTGTTTTTTCTATAGAAAATCAACTGTTTTTATCAAGCCATAACATCCAATACCATTATTTCAAGCTTACGTCCAGAGAAATGTAGTATAAATATTTTAATATATAACAAAAACATGATACATTTTTTCTGGTTAGTGAGTTTAATAAAATGCAAGTATAAATTAAAGATAATGTTCAATGTTTTAATTGAAACGTTTACTACACACAGCTTTCCAGCTGTGCTGTCAGGTGCAATCGCAACTGTGACTGATTTTGATATGCTGACAGGAATCGAGAGAAACAAAAACTAAAAGGCTAGAGATATTTTTTACTATTGTCTTGAAACAAAAACTCACAATGCAAATTGGGATGCAAAACAGACAGGTTTGAAAGGAGGACAATTTTACGTCAGCACAGTGCGCCCAAGAAACAAACATGGTGTCGGATTATTCACCTGCGGCGCCATTATTTCCATTCATTATAACTTTGAGAGTGTACTCTTTTTATTTGCATGTGCTGTGCTCTAAAGTATAATAGATTTTCTTGCTCTTATTTCTTCTTGGGTTGCATTGTTTGCTTTATGGAAAGACCCCGAAGGTTCTAAGATAACCACAGAACAGGAAGCTGATGTCGGTCATTGTCCTTCCTTACATGTAAATAGTGGTCTGGAGAAGATGTGCGTTTATTTTAGTTAACGGATCTTGGAAAAAGTATGAAAATTAAATTAATATAAATGCAGTCTGTATACAAATAATCACAACATAAACCAGGGGCATTCCATGATGAGCATAACATATTTCTTTAATTTGCCTAATTAAATCAGACTACTTAATAAAGAGAAAAAACCATGTTTTACACTGCCAATCAGGAATACATTTTTTAAACACTTTTTATGAAGACCTTAACTGCAATCCAACAAATCATAATGTTTATTTATAATTGAATTCATAACAATATCCAAAACAATTGAACAGCTAAGATAAAATCGCATGTCTGACATTTGTCACAGATAAAGAAAAAACAATATAAATATTTTTTTAAGCGCTTGTAAATGAATGGAAACAACTCGATGGGGAACTCGGACAACAAAACACACAATAAAGAGGAAACTAATGAAATTAAAGCGATTTTATCGAAACAAATAAACAATTGCCGTTGATGGCGTCGCGCATGTGCACACACCAATAATCATGATGTCAAATTGTATTAAATTTATGTTCAACGCGATAAAGTCCTCGTTTTCGGCCAGTCATAATAAGGGACCTATTGGTTTAATGTTGTTTTTAATTTAACCACCGAATGAAAAAAGAGCCGTTAAATTAGCACACAAAGCAAGTCAAAAGGGAAAATTCATTTGCCAGCGGAAATCGGGCAGCCATGACGCCATTTTTCAAAATGGTTGTATTTGCCTTTCCGTCCGTCCGTCAGTCACTCTCCCTCTCTGTCTCCCCTCTCTCTCTCTCTCTCTCTCTCTCTCTCTCTGTCTGACTGTCTATAGCCATCTCTGTCTAGTGATTAGCTGTCACGAAACCGCCGCAAAAAGCAAAAATGAATTATTATCGCGTTGCGTTCCAAATGTTGACATAGATTTAAATTATTTGTAACAAAATCAACGAACTGTGTCCGCTCCGCTTCCTCCTTCACCCCCTTCCCCATCCGCGCGGATTATCCTTCAGTCTTCTCACGCCTCAAGGTCCTGTTGCTGATTTGATTGCCCAACAAAATGTTTAAGCAAACACCACAAACCACCATTTGAAATGCTCTTTTAGGGAATTTCTAGGGATAAATATCGAGAAGGTACATTTTATAGCGTAGATATAGAGGAGATGTTTGCAATTTAGGAATATAATAGAATTATAATATAACGTTCTTTTATTTTTAGCATTTTAAGCAATCTTTGGAAATATAGAGGTGAAATCCACTGTCTAGGAAACCTTTTGATTATAATATAACTTTCTTTTATTTACAACATACAAAGCAATTTATGATGAGAACATGAAAGTTTCCATTAAAATGCAATACCCTTTGCTTGCTCAAACTGGTTTTGGAAAATGTTCATCACGTCTTTCCTCGTAACAAGAAGAAGCCAACTAATAGGCTCAATTAATAAACTTTCTTCAGGCATGGGAATTTGTTATGGTTGGTAACTACCAAGTTTTTACTCCAGCTCATTTATTTCGAAGGCCAGTGGTAAACATATAGTTAGCAGAAATGGCAATCCAAGTCCATGGCAAGGCCAATGGTGCTGTCATTTGTTTCACTGCCATCTTGGTAGTAATTAGGGCTCCAGGATATCGTTTCACCATGATCAATTTGTCACGATGAAAATAATGAATATTTCTGGTTCACATTTAAGGGTTATATTCTTGTTTACGTATTATGTCCGTGTTGTTTATTTTGTCAAATGTTTACTGGACAATAAAGTCCATAAGAAAATCAAATAGGCTTTGTTGGTGAATAAGTTTTCCTTTCTTTGCATGCCACTTTGCTATTTGTTTCCAAGGACCTTGGGTAATTTCTGGTAAATACCTTTTTTCATTCACAAGGAAGGGAATAAAGAAACGCTGTCAACAACAAGGATTGCTTTTTTTATATTCTCCTTTTATATAATCTTCTCTTCCTTTCTGATGACCCCCTTCCAAGTGCTCATTACCTTAAGCCAGCATCAATGTTTTCCACTTGTGGCATTAATTTTTGCTGTGTAAGCAGATAAATTGCAAAATGTCAAAAGTTGTTGACAGTCATTGGCATCAAAATGGAATCCAGTCACTTTGCTGGACCTTTATTCTTCGAAACCAAGTGGAGGTGTCTATCAGGAATCAGAAAGTAAACTTAAACGCTTTATAAATTGTGTGGGTTGACGCAGTCAGATTATGACTTAAGTAATGCAGTTAAAATTTCCTTGACTGCTCACAAATATATATATTACAAAATGTAATGGGCTTCCTTGATAGCAAACAAATATGTGTTACTGCTCAAAGCTTATAAATTAAAATGTATATAGTTTTCGTAGTATTATGTTAATGAAATACTTTCTAGTTATGTTTAATTTTCAGTTTCTTAAACAAGCCAATCTGTACAAAGGCTTGCGACCATAATAAACTGTATGTATTGGTTATTATACCCTTGCAGAGGGTATTATAATTTTGGTCAAAAGTGTGCAACGCAGTGAAGGAGACATCTCCGACCATATAAAGTATATATATTCTTGATCAGGATCACCTCCTGAGTTGATATAGCCATGTCCGTCTGTCCGTCTGTCCGTCTGTCTGTCTGTTTCTACGCAAACTAGTCTCTCAGTTTTAAAGCTATCGAATTGAAACTTTGCACACACCCTTCTTTCCTTTGCACGCAGTATATAAGTCGGAACGGCCGAGATCGGCCGACTATATCCTATAGCTGCCATATAACTGATTGATCGGAAATGCCATAACTTTGCTGTTTGTAAAGTTAGGAAGTTGGGATTTTCTATGCGTGTTATATTTGGCCGATCAATCCGACCTACCAAATTTCATAAGGATCGGCCGACTATATCCTATAGCTGCCATATAACTGATTGATCGGAAATGCCATAACTTTGGTATTTGTAAAGTTACGAAGCTGGGATTTTCTATGGGTTTTATATTTGGTTAATCAATCCGACCTACCAAATTTCATAAGGATCGGCCGACTATATCCTATAGCTGCCATTTAACTGAACGATTGGAAATGCCATAACTTTGGTGTTTTTAAAGTTAGGAAGTTGGGATTTTTTATGAGTATTAAGAATGCATCATATGAATAATTTTGGAGACTATAATGTACATAATATTCTGCAAGGGTATATCAACTTCGGCTCCGCCCGAAGTTAGCTTTCCTTTCTTGTTTTGGTTTCATTTTATTTTATGAAGAAATACACTTTGGCTCGCCGTTCAGCTTAGGTTTTATTGATATATACATTCCTGTCAAAGAGCTGGGTTATTAATAAAGAGAGAAATTAAAGCATTTACCTTTTGAAATAAAATGCATAAAGTTATTTTCTGAATCTCCGTACGGGAACTCGAAACTTAATCGGGCGTGGACAGATGTCCCACCGAATTATTCTGGGCAATTAGCAAATGTGCTGGCTGCGGCTTGCCCACGGCATCAGCAACAATTAGGGACAATTAGGCGCGGCATTGATTTGTATGTCCGCGTCTCATCATATTATCAAGACTCCCTCTGGTCCTAAGCCGCAAACATTATGCGTATTACAATGCCCCTGGGCTGTTTGGGGTTTACCGATAATGAACTAATTAAAAAGGGGATGTTGGGCGATTAAGATCCAACCTGAGATGCTTCAAGAAAGGATAAAGGGTTTTAAGCATGTTTATTTCCAAAAGACCACGTTAAACTTTTGTCAGTGATTTCAAAACCATATTTGTTTCTGTGGATATTTGTATATTTCATTGCACTAAATGCCAAGTTTGTATTCAAAGTGTTTTCTTGACAGGACATTTTTGATTATGGTATTTGGAAACTTCATTTATATATTTTTTAGCAACCAATCTTTTATTACAGAGCGCTTGTCCTATTTATTATTATTTAGAGGCAATCAAAGCGTGCTGTGAACAAAACGTACATTTGTGAGTTACGACAAGGCAAAGTATATATTTTCAACTTGTGATCTTTAAGCGAAGCAATAATGGTTACGAAAGTAATTAAAGGCTTTAAGCGCGAGATCAGGCCCTGTATTCTAAAGGTAATGCCGTACTGCGTTATGTCGTACTACTTCATGGAGGTGCTCTACTCACTGGTCAACGGTCATCTTGTGGGCAGAGAACGGGCAATTGTCATGGACGTCACCGATGTGTTTGGGTACATCTATACGTGCTTCGATGTCCTGCTGACCATTGTGGCCATCTTCCTCATCCTCGCCACACGAAAGGAGGCCAGCGGAGTGACACTTTTGCTCATCGGCAGAGTTATCCACCGACTGTTCTTCTCGATATGGACCGTGTTCTTCTATTTCCTCTTCAACGACAGCCTGGATGTGGGCTCCCTACTAATGCTGATGGCCGCCAAAATCAAACTGAGAGATGAAAAGGAATGGTCTCATACTGAGAGGTCAAAGTATCAACTATTATTGCTGGGGGGAAGGCTTTGTCTGTGCAGTTTGTTTATAATGTGGATGGACGAGAACGTGGAGGTAAGTAACCCTTCTTTCCATACCACTGGGATAAACATATTTTCAATATTTTTCCAGACCATGTTCAGCATTGTGTCAATGGTTCTTCTGCTTTTCATAAGCGTGGGCTTTCACTGCAAACTGTCCGCCTATCTGACCGTAGTCGCCCTGTTATATCACGATGTTTTCAGCAACCATTGGAGCATGTTGTGGGGCTGGAACGATAGGCTGCTTTCGATGCAGTACTTCTCCCTATTGTTCTGCAAAATCGGTGGTGTTCTGATGCTTTCTGAGCTGGGCGGAGGCAAGTGGTCCATCGATGGATTCAGGAACAGAAATGGCGAAAAGTGGGATAAGAAGGGCAACTACCGAATTGTCAAGGGCCAGGCGCCGGCCTAGTAAATGTTTTCCAAACAGATTGAGATGTGGAGCCCTATCTTTACTTTTCCACGTTGCCTTTCAACGTTTAAGGGATTTACATAAACTTTAATGGGAAATACTTATAGCCCGACGGCTAATGCTTATTTTTATTTCTATCTCTATTTGTACACCTGCCTCTCGGCATCCGAGTGGGCACTCCAAATGCTCTTTGATTCGCGCCTCAGCCGACGAATTATTTAAAAGACTCGAGTTGCGTTTAAGAGGCTTTCCCTCCCACTCGCTCCTCTCGACACAGCTTTTTTCTCGGGAAAGAAAATTGAAACCAGCTTAGGTAGAGATGTGAGACAGTACAATTTTTAAATGCCAGAAAATCAGAAAGAAACAGTGGTAAATAGTGTTGTCAGCAGCCAACTAAAAAACTGGAAAAACCACTCAAAAAAGCGTGAAAAAGAGGATTATTAAATGTGAAAATAACAACAAATAGGATTACTTGATTAGCTTTAGCACTTAATTTTTTCTATGCATTTGTAATTTCGTATTAATTAGTTAAATAGTCACAGTACATTTTGATCAGAGTTCAGTCATATATATTGTAAATACTGTATAAAAACGAAGCTTTTTCACATAGTACATTAATATCCATTACAATTTTAATCATGACATTCTTAAAAAAAAAAGTTTCTCACAGGGATGTTGAATATTTTTTCTACCAAAGGCCTTTGGAAAAAAGTACCAATCTACCAGGAAAAAGGATAAAATTGCAGCATGGATGTTGAAGCTTAGTACACCGAATCAAGAATACCTTTCCCGAATACACGGATAGAGTCCCCGAGCGGATTAAGTAAATGTAGAAGGACCTTTTCGGCAGTAAAAACATTTCATTCCCTTATCCCAGTTGCAAACGTCTTCACTTAATTATTGTGACTTTGGCCGGGGCATCAAGGGGCAAAGAGCCAGGAGCCGACTTAAAAGGCAACACTGCCGTTAATGAGTTTCTGGGGAAGGAACGAGCGGTAAGATACCAACCAGGCATGCATTTAACAACCGCAAAGGACGCAGTGACCTTCGCTCTTGGCTGGAAATCCATTTGCATAAGCGGTTCACGGGTGGAGAAGGAGGAGTGTCCCCAGCGATGCCAACGACATGTGAGCTCCAACTGCAGCTCCCGAGTGTTGACCAGCCCGGAAAACCAGCCCAGAAAATGGATAACGAATGCCGGAGCACTTTTCTTTCATGTTGCTTTTACTTACCCGCAATGCGTTACTCTTAATTGGAAAGCAGTTGCGATTTCGCCGTCGAGATCCGAACGTTAAAAGTAATTGACAGTATGATAAACAAGTGAGCGGCCGAGTCCAAGGAAAGCGGATAATCTGAATCGGACAATAAAAGGGTGTAACACTGTAACGAGTGGGTGCAGAGCACACAAAAAGGAAATTGACATATTTGCATTCGCATCCGAGCTTCCGTTGGGGTGAATCGTTTAGCGTGCAGTTTCCCTGTCAACTCGTTTTTGTTCCTTTCGGATTTACATTTTGAATTTGCTTAATATCCGAATGAGACAAATCGGGATCCTTCAATTTAGTTTATCGGTCAGCGGTCGGATTAACCAGCTTTACTTTGCTTTCAGCTATAACAGCCAGTTCTCGTAGACCAAAACAAAATTCTTTAAGACCCATATTTTTAAAGGTAAATAACATTGATATATATAAACACATTTTTGTTTCTGAACCACACCATCTACAAAATTCAAGAAAACCAATACATATTATTGGGTACTCATACAATTTTATTTAATAAAAATCATAGTTAAAATTTAAAATTTAATAATAGCTTAACTTTAATGCCATGATTTTTCTTGGAGTAATATTTGTTTTTATTCCTGATCTTTTTTAAATATTTAAAGAACAAGCCTAACTATTGTTACCCATAGATCAATTAACTTTGGAATTTTAGCAATTATTTATTTATTTAATTACTTATTCCGTCTTATTCCATTTACGGAGCTCTGAGTTTAAAAAACGCAATTAAGTCGTCATTGTATAGTTCGCACAATCTTAGATAAAAGTACTTTATAAATACATGCAAAATAATAAAGAGCGGTTTTGCAATTTTCTAAGTGAAACACTGACGGTGCTAAAGCCCCGCAAAAGGCATGCAGAAACGCAGTTTTCGCTGGCAACATTAATAAAATAATAGTTGGGGCCAGGGATATGGATATGGATAAAAAAGACGCAGACCTCTTCGCCCAGAGAGGAATATGCGATGGCGATGGCGATGGTGAACTGGGTTGCAGCACGGGGCATTAGAAACGGCAGTGCAACAACAAGGAATCCTGAAGCTGGTTTAATTAAAACAGCGCAACAAAAGGCTCGTGTGTGCGTGGTGTGTGAGCAAAGTGAGCACTGTGCTGTGAGTCGCACGGCATTTGCATAAGTAAAACACACACAAAAATCTACAAATGTATGCAGCTGCTACTGCATTCATGCCGGCAGACTGTCAACGCTTTGGTCAAACCGGAGTCAAAGCATTTAAGTTTATTTACCTGGGTCGGATTCAGATTTGGAGCAGAAGATACAACTCGATCTGGAGCTGAATGGCCCCTGCTTAAATAATTCTGAACTCAAATAGAGCATTCGTCAGTTAGAGGAACTAAACCAAATAAATGTGTATAATTAATTTGACCAACTTAAGCTAACAAGTAGGAACCGAGAACAATGTGGTACATAAGTTAAATTCCGTCTGGGATAGCTTATAAAAGGCTTTTGTCCGAAGTTAAGCATTTAATTTTCTTATTACATTTTTAATATGTCAACGCCATAAGTAAGACACTAAAATTAATATATTAATACAATATATTGTTTAAGTGCTTCCAATAGGGGCCCACAATGATGTTTCAATTAAATTATAATGGAAATCAGATTGCCAGAACAACATAATCAATGTTAACATTAAAAAATTTGCAAGAAATGATTACTTATAAAAAATGAATTTACTGTTTGGCCTAGATGACTTTTATTTTAGAACATTTATATCTTATTACCCCTCAAATTTAAACCACAAGTACAAGAGACATTTCAATATATTTCAATTTCGATATAGAAAATATAGAAATGTTGTTAAATCTGCTTAAACTGTATTAATTTAACCATTTCCAACATTGCAAAATAGGCTAATAATTTTGATATTAATCTTTTCATGTTGAGCTTTCTTTCTTAAAAATGCTTAAGCCTGCTTTTTAAATAAAATACCCGACAGTAAATTGAAGTAGAATGAAAAGGGCTTACTGCAAATCGATTGCCTAATGAGATTGGCCAGGAAAGGAGTTTGGCTGGTAGGTTTTACCACCACTTGCCGCATGTATAATCCCTCAGAATTTAACTTTAAGACTGAGCATTGTAAATTCCACTTCAAGGCCGGCACACACGTACGCAATTCTTGGGGGACCATTATCGTCTCGGTTCCAGCTACATCGCATCATCGTCGCAGCATTACGTAAAAGCGCTTTTACGACTACATTTGAGCAGCCGCAAAGAGCTGTCCCCGAAAAGTGGGCTCGAATATGTTTCGCCGGCTAACAGGTTGAATGCGACCAGAGATTTGAGCGTGTGCAAATGGCAGCGACAGAGACAATAAAGCTTAGAGGACCTGGAGGTGGAGATGGAGATGGAGTTTGAGCTGGATCTCCAATGAGGCATCTGCAGTCCCATTCCACCCGAATTCCATTTTATGCGCCTTTATTTTCTGCTATTTTTAAGCATTTTCCAATCAACTCCAGAGCTGGATTATTTCTGTGGCGTGACATTAAACGGCTTTTCAGCTTCATAAAAATTCGTTTCTTGCTCTTCGTTTTTTCGCATTACAAAGTCATTTCGTGGCGATGTTCGCCAATTCAATAATAATGCCAGTTTGCCAGGTTATTAAAATTTCATACAAACATTCATGCTGACTTTGACTTGTGCTGAGTTTTTGTTTCTTTCATTCGTTCGGTGTTTCGCTTATGTTTGTGTGTTTGTTTCCTTTTTCGTAGGCGCCAAAATGTCAGCGACACGTTTTCCTACAGCGACAATTTATCATAAATATGCATGCACATATATGGCCAAATACACAAATATACTATATATGCGCATACATATGTGAGGCATATAAATCCTGCTCCTGTTGGGCGCTGCCAAGCGTTTGGTGTCGCGGTCTGGCCTTTGTTTATGCCGCTGTCAGCGCTCGTTTAATTCAACATTAGCGCCTTGCAGCGGTCCGAGGTGTTTTCCACGGTTTTCCCCTGTTTTCCCCCGCTTTTCCCCTGCTTTTCCTGGGTTTCTCCACAGTTCGCCACCGTTGCGTTGGAACCTTTTGTGCGCCCGCGGCCACTTTCACGCGCTTTCCCCAGGTCGCCCTGCGCTGTTTAGCACTCATTTTTTCCAAATTGTCAAACTGTCAAATAAATTACACGCGAAAACGTACAAAAGATCTGACGCAGTTGGGCTTCCTTTGTTGGGCTCAACTTTTGTGCGGCATATGCATAGGCTCATGAGCACATAATGTGGCCAGTCTTTGTGGCCGGCTTTGATTGTCGGCTGGCTTCCGAAAATGAGATTTTCATACATTCCAGATTGGTCGTCAAGACGGGGAGAATATTTCCAGGAAACTGCTCCATCAACATTTAAAAATGTGTGGACTTAAAGTAATGAAATCGTGTGCCCTTTACAAAACAAAATCATCTTAACTATTTTTATAAATCTTTAGCGAGGAAGTCAAATATTATTTCCCGAACGAAATTTTAGAGGAAAAAAAGTAATCTTAAAAATATTTCTTTTAAAAACTCTATAGTTTTTCTATCGGATTAATTAGTTTTTGTTTTTAAAAATATATTATAACGCAGTCGTTAAAAAGAAATGGAATTTAAAGGTATATAAAACCTTAAAAATTAAATACCAAAAAAAATAGAAGGCCATAGCCAGCAAATAAATGTATAATTTTAGCTATGCATATCATGAAATTATATTTCTTTGTTCAATAGTTAC